AGTAGTAGAATATTGGCTGGCAACCCGTACAAAGTGTGATTTTAGTAGCAGAATATTGGTTGGCAACCCGTACCAAGTGTGATTTTAGTAGTAGAGTTTTCGAGTCAACCCTTACCAAGTGGGATATTTTGGTGAAAATCTTAGGATTGGCTACTTGTAGATTTATACAATGAACGACACGCATCTGGATAACGGTGTGTTTGCGATCCCGTTAAGATTAAAAAATCAGAATACTTATGTAATGTGAATTTAAGTCAATTCATGTCATTGTGTAAGTCTACAAGTAACCAAAGAAACAGCTGTTTTCGTATGTGTGTAACACAGCTGAGATCACCTGATCGAATCTGCCTTTTTTTTGACACAGAGATGTAAATAAAAGGAATGTTGTTAACAACTTGTTTGTGAACATGTATTTGTAATGGAAAACATTAATGAAAACTATCAAAAATAATTTCGAAACAAAAGTTTATCGCATATTTATAGTTTTTCCTCACCACCTCTGAGGATGCAATGTAGGGTTTCCAGTTCCCCAGGAGGCCTATATTTATCCATATTATGTAAACAGTTCGAATTCAATCTACTCTTCATAACAAATAGAACTAGAAAAAAAAATATATATAAAATCAGGTACACTTCATGGATAGTAATAACATACACAATATAGAAACTCCTACCTATCCAGAATAGACCCTGACATACCAAACACATGTCCTGCATGCAATGAGTCTCCGCATGACACTAACCACCTCTTTGCATGCCCAACAAACCCCACTCATCTAACACCCCTCTCCCTATGGTCCGACCCCGTCGAAACAGCTCGTTTCCTGGGCCTTCCGTTAGATGACCTCGACGACAACGAATCTAGAATTTATCACCCCAACGGGGATTAGATAATCGTTATAACAACAACAACAACATACACAATATAAGTCGAAATAATCTCCTTAAACAGAAATAGGTATATATAAAAAGTCGGGTACAATTCATGAACAACATAATAATAATCCAAACATTAGTACATTGTTTTAGTAAATAATATTTACAAAAGATTCTAATTTACTTACAAATTTAATCTTTAATAATGTTAATAATCGAAAAATATTTGAATATTTATTTATTTATTTATTTAAAGTATACAGACGTTTATCGGCATTATACAACTAAGTACTTGTAATACATATTATATAAAAGAAATGAGCGGGAAGGGTAGATATTTATATTATTTATATTGACAAGATTAACTAGTTAAGTGTCTTTGGGTTAAGGGTATTGCAGTAAGCGCAACTTAATTTCTTGGGCGAATGCGTTGAGTGATCCACTGTAAAAATCCACTTCTTCGTGTAGAGTGTTGACTAGCCTGGCAATTCGATCGTGTGGGCCATTGAGCACATAGTTCTTTGTAGTTTTTGTCGTTTTAAGCAGACGATTGTGTCTGAGTGGGAGACCCACTGGAGAAAACTCAAAGCAGCTGCAGATGTCTGTCACGACAATTTGACCATTGATGACTTTAAAAAAGAATATTAGATCAGCTACTTGTCGACGTGATTGCAGTTTGTTTATATTATACTGATCGTAGATATCATTCACTGAGGCATGAGGCCCAGTAAATCCAGGGTAACCTAGGTTTTTACAGAGCTTGAGTTGTATAATTTCATACGCGTGGTCGCCATGTCCGTGAATGGAAACCAGGTTACTGTGCCATACTCCAAGATAGGAAGAACTAGTGTTGAATAAAGGCGCAGCAAGGAGTTTGGATCTGAAAAGTCTGCTGAATCTAACTATAAAACCTAATATTTTAAAAGCCTGGATTGTGATTCTTTCGATATGCTTGTTGAAAGTTAGCTTATTTATTTATTTATTTATTTAAATGCCAATCGGCAATATACATAGATATAATAAAGAATTTAAGTATTATACAGAAGTAGCTAGGGTATATTAGGGTAATATCTGGAAAATATTTAAATAATTGTAAGTTAATATGTAATTCAGACTTGATTTAGATGTAATTCAGACGATCAGGTGTCTCTTGGTGTTTTCGGTAAAAGCAGCGTATGTTCCTCCATAGAAATCAATTTCACCTTGAAGTGAATTTACTAAATTAGCCAGTCTATTCTGAGGACCATGGATAACATAATTTTTCTTGGATTTCGATGTTTTTAGTAATATATTTCGCCTCAGGGTAAGACCAGCAGGGGCGAGTTCAAAACTGTTTAGGATCTCATGAGCATCAGTGATGTTATTGACTACTTTGTAGAAAAAGCAGAGGTCAGCGACCTGTCGACGAGAAGACAGTTTGTTTATACAGTAGCACTGGTAGACCTCATCAGTAGAGCAGATGTGACTTGGTGAAGATAGTTTATAGGCCAGTGACTTACAGAATTTACGCTGCACCTTTTCAACTTTATCGATTGTCGTGTTAGTGTAGGGAGACCAGATTACCGAACCATATTCCAAAATTGGTAGTACAAGTGACTTGAATAGTCTAATGAGTGTCCAAGGGTTTTTGAAATCTTTACCACTCCTCAGTATAAATCCAAGGGCTTTGAACGCCTTTGATGTAATTTTGTTTGCGTGGTGTGAGAAGGTGAGCTTATTATCAACAATGATACCTAAGTCTTTTATGTTCTCGACCTCAGCTATCTCAAGCCCAACAACTTTGTAGCTCGTGCGGATCGGTGAGTGTGAGCGAGCGAAAGATACGGCCGCACATTTGTTTACGTTGAGATCCAGCTTGTTCACTCGACACCAGTCACTGAGGGTATTTATGTCTTGTTGCAAGATTATGATGTCTGTCTCACAAGTGATCGGTTTAAATATTTTGAGGTCATCAGCATACAGAAGGAAATCAGAAGCAAAGTTATTACCAATGTCGTTGACGACGATGTTAAACAGTACAACAGTACTTATTGTCTATGATGATTCCCAAGTCCTTTACCCACTCAACCTCATTTATCGCCTCATTATTCAGGGTGTAGTTAGCTGACATAGAAAAACATTAGTAAGCAACTCGTACCAAGAGTGACATTTTTGCGTGTGTATTTGTGGAAATATTAGGATTGGTTATTTGTAGATTTATACAATGGTTCATGTTTAAAGCGGTGTCATGGATGATATGATACGAAACTCTTTGATTCGAGAGAGCTGTCAAAACCCTCATTTTTTTATAACATTTGTCAATCATGTCAATTTCGAGAGAAAATGAATAGATTATTGTAAAAATAACTTTTTGGCATTTTGCATTTCGATTTTATTTTAAGGTCCTTGGTTTCCGAGTAGACCTATATCACGCATATACAGCCCTAAATACGTGTATTCAAAAATTTAAAATTTTTACAAATCATAAAACATAATAAAATAATATAAATAAAAACAGCTATATCAAAGAAACAATACAACTCATAATAAAATATCATGATTTTATGATTAACGTCTTTAATGCAAATGTTTTGAATTTATAACAAAAAATTGCAAACAAACTTTGTTTATTCAAAAGTATTTGTGTCGTTCCTTGAAATTTCGTTTCGCACTGTTTTTTTCAGATACTTTTAGCGGGTTTATTTCTGGCATCCGTTATTCGGGTTTACAACTTATTGCTTATAGCTCCATTGATCTTTACACGCAACACTCATTAGAATTGTTTTTGCTGCACAATCCGGCCGTCCTTATATAGTAGATCTTTAACAAAAGTTCGACCCTAGAATATTCTGGCGAATTCACTGTCTAGTTGCTTCTGGTAATTTATCGTCGATATGATTTTGTTCTATCATCCGTGTTCGCCACAATATTTTGTAAGCAATTCAAACACGTAAGAATTTAAAAAAACTCAACTTCAAATAAATTTCGTAACTATTGTGATTCAAAGTCAACATATTATTTTTATTGGTAATTATACATTTTGACTGGGCTATAAATAATTTAATATTGGTTACCGGCATGTTTATTTTCATTTAGGTTTATATACATCTCTAAATAACGAAATGACACAGCTGATTAGATCTGTTCGATTTCAATTGGGAGATTTTTGTGACTGTCACGTATTGCAATGCAAAATCGTCTCCAGTCACAAAAATTGTCTCTAGTTTGAAATTTCAAATATAGGCACATGTGACTCTATCAAAGTACTGAATTCAGATATTAATATTTACATGTATTAAAAATGCGTAAACATCTACAAATATGCATTATTTAGAAAAACAATAATAGGTTTACCAAACAAGAAAACAAATTATAGGCCCTAGTATTTTTCACTTGCAACCTACAATATTTGTTTTTGGAACATATGTTATGCAAATTGGATGATGCCACAGAAGTTTGATTTGGTGTGGTGTGCTAGATTTTAATCAATTGAAAATATGTTATATAAAACGTCGAATCCTATGCCAAATTTTTTCGGCAAATTTCTTCACCGCACAATTTATCTTTTTTAATCTTAAGCTGAAAATCGAAGTCTGAAAAATTTAGTAAAGCTGCAATCTTAAATGTGGCTTTGTTTCGCCCGATATGGGAGCTTTTAATAACTAGTTGTGGAACTTATGTAGAATGTATCACGCGCATCCACATGGTAACTACCGCAGTTAAAATATACCTTTAAATGCCGATAGCACTAAGAATTGTCGATTGAACTTAATATTAATAACTGTTCTTATAGAAATTATATTATAAGTAACTAAAGAATATTTTGTGTAAGGTATATAATATAAGGTATACGTGATAATGTAATATTTCTTATAAAATTAAATACTGAAATTAAAACCACCTATGTGTATATTCCTAGGAATATGATACAGTCATACGTAGTCAAATATCTACTTTAATGCATTCCAATGTAATATTTGTTGTTGCTAAGACGCTTTACGTAGTATTCAATTAAATCTTGAAATTTATTCTAAATTAAAGGAAAATAATAGAACTTAAATAATTTTACATCACTCTTAATAAAGTGTGTCGGTGTGTTTTGCCAAAGTTGTTAGAATTTGTTTGATATTTTTTACGCTATGCTGTAAATGCTTGTCTTTGCTGGTATCTATAAAATAAAAATACTCTTGAACGATAATAAATTTAATTTTATACGAAAAATTGAGAAAATGTATGAACCACATATTTTGACTAAACGAAATGAATCCAAACTGCCAAAGGCAACGTAATTTTGTTGATTTTTTTTTATGTTGTTGGTATAACGACAGAATTCTGTCGAGTTCACAGTCCTTGACCGGATAAAAATCCGGGTCTGTTCTGGTTAAATAGACCCGACTGTAATAGGAATGGTTAATTTTTCTTTATCGCTTTAGTTTAATTCAGAAATACATTTTAATATTAATACAATCGATTGGACATACATTTCTTTAATAGAATTAAATTAATAATTTTACAAACAGACGCAATGATATCCATAATAAAAATACGTTGCCTTACATTGTGGGGTTAGGTATAGTCAAAGGCATGAAAAAAATAACAATTTCAAATATTTTTTTTCGCCAGTAAATTATTTTTGTTAATAAAAGTAAAAACGGCGGGGATTAAGAATAGCAGCCGCCTTCGACGTTAGAATGGGTATGTATGAAATAATGGATTTGAACAGAAATTAAACATTGAATTGAAGTTTTTTTCCACTATTTAATATAAAATAAATGTGTATAAACGAATTAGGGAAGTGCTCGTGGATATAAAAGTTAAAAATATAAGTGTAAAAATTAATGTAAATCAAATAAACACGCACTTTAAATAGTTGAATTTTTGAATTTTAATAGAAAATATCTCAAAAACCATAAATCAGCGGCAACTAAATGTATATATTTTCTTAATTTAAAGAACCTTCTCTATTCGCACATACCCATTTCAACCACGAATTCGGGGGATGCTAAATTTATACGTAAAAACAGAGAACCATTAAATAAGATTTCGACTTGATTTGACAGAATTTGTGACAAAAAGTTTTTAAGTAATGCCTGTTTGTGTTGATCCAGTTCCATCACTAATCCTTGGAAATTTATATAAAATCAATCGGACAAAAAAATTAGTTTATTAATAGATAATTTAGTGCCTGATCAAAGCTTTTTTTAGTTAGCAAAATGACGACCTCAGGAAAATGTAAAGATAGAAATCAGGTACTATTTTTTTCATGTTTTCAAAAAGCTGTATAAATATCATTGGAATCTACCGAGCGGCTCTCGAGCTGCAGTGGTCCAAGAACATAGTCTTGAGAAAACTTATTTGAAGTTTTGTAGCTACTGTAAGCTCTCTTCCTGAACGTTTCAGAGCACCCTTTGATTATTATCGAATCACTCGGAAAGTATTTGTCGGATTTACTTCAAATTTTCAGAGACTATTTCCTAGATATCGTACAAGATACAATACATATAAATTTTTTTTTATTCTGACTACCCCTAAACCCTTCTGCGAGTTCGTCAATTGTATTTCTTTTGTTAATTTAATTTTATTTTTTTTTTTCAGAATTTTTGATTTGAATTGTTATTTGTTTCCACAGTTCAGTTGTGTTCAGGTTGCGTGTTATAGAAACTCAAATAAACGGAGTCTGCTTAAAATGTAATTCTAAATTAAAAAATGTGTTGTATTTAATGTTTTGTTTTCACTGCTAACTATAGTTTTCGGCAGGATGTCATCAGAAGGTCCTATTAAAGGGCCCCGTCCTTTAGTTGTATGCGGTCCTTCGGGTTCTGGGAAGACTACTTTGCTGAAGAAACTTTTTGAAGAATTTCCTCACACATTTGGTTTTAGTATATCACACACGACACGTGCTCCACGTGCCGGTGAAGAACATGGCGTACACTACTATTTCATTGACAAGAATAAAATGAATGAACAAATCGATAATAATGAATTTATAGAAACTGCAGTTTTTAGTGGTAATATATACGGTACTACTAAAAATGAAGTTTGTAATATACAAAAGTCCGGTAAAGTGTGCGTCCTGGACATCGAACCACAAGGAGTCGAACAGATAAAAAAAACGGATTTAAATCCTATTCTAGTCTATAACAATCCACCAAGCCTTAAGGATTTGGAGTTGCGTTTGCGTAAGCGTCAAACAGAATCGGAAGAATCGTTACAGAAGCGTCTTGCGGCTGCTGATCAAGAGATAGCATATGGGTTGACCGAAGGAAATTTCCACAAAATCATACACAATGTGGGCATTGACGAATCTTATAAGGAGTTTAAAGAATTTATTGTAAAAGAACTGAAAGCTCAAGAAGACACAGGTGTCGTTATACGTTGGGAATAAAAAATATCTTGCTTTAAGAGCAGAAAAATGCTTTAACTGAAAAAATTCGGAGCAAATACTTAGTTACTCAAATAGAAATGTTGGCTTGTTACCCGCCTTCCTAAAGATTTGCTAGCAGTTATTAAAAATTTGGTTTTTAAATGCACGCAATTCCTAAATGTAAATTTTTTTCTGAGAAATATTTATGTATATACACTATATCTTATAGACATTGTTTGAATTTGTTAATATGTAATATACAGTACTATAATTTATACAATGTTTTAACTGAGTAAAGAATATGAAACAATAGAAACCACATTTTTTTAATTCATTATGTCAAGGTAATTGTTGAATATTCGCAGTATATCTATGAATACTTGTAGCCGAGAGTGTGCGGTATATTGATATTTCGGTCATTAAATGCAAATCGATTCTGTGAAATCGAGTGCGGGAGGATTTAACTAATTGTGCTACTGAGACAACTTTTCTATTTGCAACATTCTTTCTAGGCTCTTCCAAAATTATATGTTAGAACTAGATATTATTAAACTGTAGAAATAGTTTTTAGAAATGTTTGTGTAGATAAAGATCTGAGTAGTTCCGTTTATTTAGAGAAACTCAGATTTTGATACAGGCCTGTAGTTCCAAATAAAGCCATTTGTCGTTTTTTTTAAATATTTTTTTTTTTATAATTATTTTAAGAAACCTTAAATAATATCCACAACATCCTAGATGAGTCCCTTTTTTATGCAGGTGTAGATAAAAATTCGATTGTGAAAAAAAGGAAAGATTTTAACATTTATGTTATGTAATTTAGTATAATAAAACTGTGCACATATATTGGACGACCTTTTTGCTTCTATGCTATTTTTGTTTTTTTTTGTTAAACTATTTTGCAGGTATCGTATGGTACATCCATCGAAATTTTCAATACGCACAATAACTTCTCTACTGCGGTTTGCACTGAACAAGAGATATTTTCTACAATAAAATTTTTGATGTCTAACTTTTATTAAAAGGAACGAATATAGATAAAACCGATTTAGCAATCGTCGAACCAGGCAGTATTTGTATAGTATGGACAAAAAAATGTCGTCGTCTTCGCAGCCACGTGTATTAAAAAAGAAACATTTTCGCGTAAAGCATCAAAAAGTAAAACTTTTTCGTGCCAACGAACCGATTCTGAGCGTTTTTATGTGGGGCATTAATCACACGGTGAAGATAAATTATTGTTCTGTATAACTAGTGTAAAATTAAAAATATATTGTTTATAATTTCAGATAAATGAATTAAGCCATGTTAATATTCCAGTGATGCTTTTGCCAGATGACTTTCGTGCATTCTCAAAAATCAAAGTTGATAATCATCTTTTTAATAAGTATGAATATCAACAAATTTGTGAGTAACGCAAATTTACTGTTTTAATTTTAGGGAAAATATGCCGTCACATTTCAAAGTCAAAGAATATTGTCCTTTAGTATTTCGGAACTTGCGTGAACGATTCAGTGTTGATGATGTCGATTATCGCGAGTCATTAACTCGCTCACAGCCTATACGTATTGAGTCATCAGGTAAATCCGGAGCACAGTTTTACCAAAGTTATGATAAATTTTTTATAATAAAGAGTTTGACATCGGAGGAAATCGAACGTATGCACGCATTTTTAAAGCAATATCACCCAGTGAGTATTTGTACCCGTTACTCTATTACTTTCATCTATACGTTTTTGTACTATATTGTATGTAGACTAATAAAGGGGAGCGTATATAGGTACATGGCTATAGTTTAAAAATTATCTCCTCATATTTATTTTTCATTTAGTATAAATTATTGAATTATATTTCCACATTTCCCTCCTTTTACATATTTGAAATTGGCCAGAATTATCCTACACTCGGTCCAATCCGAACCCAACCCTCTACTTGTTCTCAAACATTTAAGTATCTTTTCTTAACTTCTTTTCAACTTGTGTATTTATTCCCCTAGTACATCGTTGAAAAACATGGCAAAACTCTTTTACCGCAATATTTGGGTATGTATAGAATAACGGTTGAAAGCGGTCAACATTATTTTGTCGTTATGAGGAATGTATTTAGTTCCCATTTAACCATACACAAGTGAGTTCAAATTAAAATCAACTTCACATTATTGTTAGCATTAAGTAGCTTATATTTTTTAGAAAATTTGACTTGAAAGGCAGTACTGTTGACCGTGAAGCCTCTGAAAAGGAATTAGAAAAGTATTTACCTACTTACAAAGATAACGACTTTATAAAGCAAAAAGTCAAGATTGAAATTGGAGAAGCAAAATCAAAATTGTTGGATACATTATCAAGTGATGTTGATGTAATTATAAAGTTCATACTTGAAAAATTTAATGGACTATCAACTTTTTTCTCATCGGTTTGTTTTATTACAAAAGCTCCTTACAAAGTTGCACATAATGGACTACTCGCTCTTAGTCGGCATACATGACTGCGTTCGTGCTGAAGAGGAAGCATTGCAAGGGGAAAACTCTCAAGCGACTGGACGCAGCGAAAACAGCGAAAGCGAGGAATGTGATAGTGGAGAAAGGTGAATTCATTAAACAATATAAATATATTCAACCATATAATTACGTATATTGCAGATGGACTTACAATACACCACCTGATTCACCGCGCGGCGCTCAATATAAAGAAGTTGTCTATGAAGTGGATATCTACGCTATTCCAAGCATTGAAGGTAATATTAATTTTTTGTAACTATATTCTTAACGAGATTGTACTTGTGTTTTGTTGTAAATGAGTAAAAGTTCTGTAAATGAACTTTATACAATTAATGGGATGAGAACTTTTGGAAAATACTACCAAACATTGAATGGGTGTATTGTAAATTTTGTAAATACTAACAGCATTTATGTACAATATAATCAAATAAATTTCAATGAACTCATAACATTCTTTTTTGTAATTACAGAAAGGAGAGAAATATATTTTATTGCCATTATAGATGTGTTAACACAATATGGTGTTAAAAAGCAGGTAAGATCATATTCTTTCCTTTTCACATTATATTAATTTATGGGTAATGAGAGATTATAGAACACGGCGCGAAAATATATCCAAAGTACGGATTTATAATGCGTTTTTTAAGAAAAACTTATATTAAAGTTTACTTCGCACACCCATATTGCTATGGAAGTCGCCGCCGCGCTTCAAAAAAAAAAACCCTGGTCGGTTCAACACCGATGTGTCCATAGTTCTTTTGCGTGCAGTACAAAGTTCGTCGCGAAAAAAAATATTTTGGGTTGCCGTATTTTAAATGGACGAAAAAAACTACTTGTTCCTAAAGAGATGCAACTAAATCTTAAGGGATTAGTGTAGTCAGAGACATGATAAAATAACCATTTTAAATATTTTTTTTTATTTTGTTCGCCATTAAATTATTTTGTTATAAAAACTGTTTGTGTTAATCCAGTTTCAACCGAAGCTCCTGGCGGTGACTTTTACATATCCTTGGAGATTCTTTTAAATCCAATCGTACTAAAAACTAAATTTATTAATAGACTAGAGAACCCCATTCACGCGTTGCTGTGGTTCAGGTATACATTAATTATAAATTATTCAATACCGTAAAATTGTATTTATTGGTAAAAACGAAAACGTTATTTCCGAATTTGAAATCACTTCCAAATTTGAAAATGAATAATACGAATTTTCTTTGTTTCGTTATTAAGTACAAATAAACATAATATACATATATTATTTTTATTTTATTAATTTTATATTAGAGTTTGTAACAGATGAGTAATTTTCAAAGTTTATAACATTTGAGATAATGAAAGAGGGTAGATCATTCTTAGTTTTTGACAATAATAAAGGGTGTTTTTGTTTTTTTTAGAGGTATAGAACATTAATACGACGAATGTTGTCTTCCAAATGGTTAAGCGTTTGTGGCTTATGCGCATAGACCAATGACTTTACATAACCCCACAAAAAGTAGTCTAGCGGTGTTAAATCACAAGATCTTGGAGGCCAATTCATAGGTCCAAAACGTGAATTTAGGCGGAATCAACCAGAAGTGCACTCGACGATAAAATGAACGTAGTGCGCGATACGTATTCCACACAGAACTATTATTTTCGAAATAAAATTGCACTATTTGCAAGCGTTGTTCAGGCGTGAGTCTATTCATGATGAATTGCCAAACCAAACTGAGAATTAATCACTTGACAGCTGTTAAATCGGTCGCCATTTTGAACAGTAATGCCAACTTAAAGTTCTATACCTCGAAAAAAACACCCGTTATATATATACCTAATATTCTATGAACTAACGGTAGATCAATAATAACATCGTCTTTGAATATTATACAAGTACTAGCTGACCCGGCGAACTTCGTACCGCCATAGCGTAGCTTTGATGCACTACTTTATTTTGTATAGCTGACAGTTGTCCTATCTTAGGTATGAGTACCTATTTAATTTAAACTGGAATCTATTATATCCTCCATATACAAATGAATCAATATTTCCCTGGTCTCGCCATAACTGAGAAGGCGATAGAATTTAATTAAGTAACCACATTTCCGAACAAATGATGCACTTTCAATATAGTCTATGGCTGTGAATGACGATGACATTCGTTACGCACGTTTAATAAAATATGCAAAATGTATTTATTCAATCTTTCTGAGACATTTTCTTAGTATTTTTTTTTTGTAAGAACCTTCTACAGAGTATTAGAAAACTACAAAAAAAAAAGCAGCCAAATCGGTCTTGCCGTTCTCAAGTTATGGCGTGACAACGGGAAAGGGGTTTCATTTTTATATATATAGATTTCTGAAGTCAATTGCGAGTTCATTTTTTGCAAATCAGTGAAAGTGTGCTATTGACTGTGCAATGACGTGTGCGTTAAAATAGAGGCAAACGATAAAATTAAACGTTTTGCGAAAAAACTTTATTTGATACAATTTTGATCAAAACGTGAGTAAAGGGTTTTAATTTTATATATTTAATGTAAATTGTTGTTGTTTCATATAAATTAGGTATAAAAATGGGAAGAGCCAAGCACTGCAGTCCTGAATGCCGAAAACTGATAAAAATTTGAAGTTTACAATCAAAAAGCCATTGCGGTGGGAGTATAATGGTTTGGGATACTTCTCATATTATGGAACAGGCCCGCTATTTCGGATAGAAGGTAGAATGGATTTATTACAATAAATATGCCCCGTCAATGGGTGTTTCAACAAGATAATAGCCTGAAACACACATCGAAGCGGTCAAAGGAATGGTTGAGACAAAACGGTATCTCAGTTTTAAGGTAGACCCCGCAATCACTAGACCTTAATCCGATAGAAAATTTATGGCGGGAGGTTAAAGTGGCTCTGAGAGGCCAAAATCCATCCAATAAAGAGGATCTTTGGAGGCTAGTGAAGGCCGCATGGTATAAACTTCCAGCTGTTATGTGCCAGGATTTAGTGGATTATATGCCCAGACTTTGCACAGCAGTTATAAAAAACAATGGATACTGCACTATATATTAATATAACAGTTATTATTCTTTATCCTTTCTATTGATTATTTTATTAAAAACTACAGAATTCAAATCACCGGAAACAAATAAATTTAAATAACGTCTTCTGGCTCTATTTTAAAGCACAGCCATAACGGGATATGCTAATGAGTTTTTAATTTTTTAAATTTAATTTTAGACTTTTAATTGGTATCTTAATATATACTTCATACGTTGTTTCTTTTCTACCAATAAAAAAAAACCAGCAACAGTTTCGAGGTTGGTACAGAAATTCGAATCTGGGTCAGTTACAACCAGAAAATCACCCGGTCGAAACCGAAATGTTCGAATGCAACAAAAAATTGCGGTAGAGCAAGACAGTGTGAATGTGAGCCCTATGAAGTCGCTTCGTCGTCGTTCGCAACAGTTGGGTATGTCAACATCTTCGGTGCATCGAATACTGATAAAAGATGTTGTTGCGCTCGGGGCATTGTCACGTCCAAAGATCGCCCGAAGTTTACGGGCAGTCTCTGCGTAGCACTCCTCGTTTTTGTAATGAGTTTTCTCAATAAGAATGCGTTGCTCGATACTGAACTGCTCCATGGCTACAAAATGGAAAAACGTCAAATGGTCTAATCGGAGTGGTAATAGATAACAAAAATGATAGGAACAGTGCTGACAATCTTCAAACAAAAAAATCCTGCTCAATTTAAAAACTGCGTACTTTATGAAACACCCTATATCTAAGGATAAATCAGTTTGCAATTGTTCGCATATATGGTATTGTGGTGTTTCAACGTTTCACCATAAGAACAATTACTTAAACATTCGTTAATCCCATTGCATTAAGATAAGTAAAAAATGGCTGGGCATCGTTGCCGTTTAAATCTTGCATTGTTCTGTGCAATGCACCGAGAATATTTGTGGGTCATGCCTGTGCGTCGTTCGCCATAAACTAGCAAAGTATCCACTTTGCCTTGGCGATGCATGCTAGTTTCTGTTGTGATAATGTCTTACCGGTTCCACATGGTGCGTCCTAAAAAAAACCGCCATGTTCAGTATCAACAATCAGTATAACCCATATACATATGTTATTTATTCAAAATTACTGTTCTCTTGCAGTAGCTATGTGTTTTTATTGTTTTTATTGTTATTATTATTATTATTTTTTTGAGTTATAAAATATTTAAATGATTCTTACATGAATTTTGAAAGCATGCTTATGACTTTAGATATATATTTGGTATTCATAAAATCTATTGACTTTTAACATAAAGAGATAAAAAGTATAATCTGTCCGTCCCCTGATTCTAAGCTACTTTCCCGCCATTTTCAGCCAAATCGGTTAACCGTTCTTGAGTTAAAAATATTGTTACTAACACGACTCTCTTTTATATAGATATATATGATTATAAATCTGTTGTATGGGAGTATAGAAAAGTTTTTTTTTTTCAAAGGTTTTATCAGAGAATTTTTTAAATTTTTCTCTCCGAAAGATTCATACAAATATTTGTCAATAAAAAAAATTATGTATTTTTCATTAGGCATTTTACTTAAAATATTATTTTATTTATTTAATTTTATTTTTGGAATTTTGAAAACATGGTTATGTTTAGAAATATATAATATTTTTTAAGGAGTTTTTAATTTTTAAAATTGAAGATTTAAACTATCCTACCATTTATGTTGGATCAAGCTGTACACAATGTGCTAAATTTTGCTGAAATCGGTACAGTAGTTTAGGAGATAACCCCCGACAAAACGTGACACGTAATTTATATATATATATATATATAGAGATAATCTAGTGCCTGATCGAAGCTTTTTTAATACGCTTTTATTAGCTTGGGTTGTATGTATGTGATGGAATCTTAGAGCTAAATTTTCACCGGTTTTCAGAAGTCTGATCAACTTGAAACTGTGCAGACGTGTCAAGGACCGATGACAATGTAATAACTTGATAACAGTTTCCCATTATTTTAAAGGTGGGCGTAACCCCGCCCCCTAAATGGTTTAATGTATATAGGCTGAGAGGAAGTCCTTTTAGCCCTATTTCATACGCTGTGAAAATGGGCAAAATCAGATAATAACCACGCCCACTCTCCATATAACAGTTATGTTAAAATATACTAAAAGTGCGATAACTGACGAAATAAATGCGCCATAAGCATTTCACAAAAAAGATGGTAGGGAAAAAACTTAATACATTAAATTGTAAAATGGGCGTGGCACCACCAACCTTTAGGTGAAATCTTATATCTCAGAAACTATCAAACTAATGTCGATCAACCAAATTTGGTATGTGAGGTTACCCAGCCATTCCTATCACACACTTTAAAAATGGACGAAATCGTACAACGACTATAAAGCTATGAAGCTAAAAGCGGGTACTATTCAAATACAAGCATGTACTATCCAAAAATGCCCCTAAAGCTATGCAGCTAAAAGCATCAACGATCCAACATTTGAATAAGAAATTTACTCCAACGCATCCTTAAATAAAGTGACAGAAATATTGAGATTGGAAAATATTTGTATTATTGTGAGAAAGCGTGGGTTGGCTTGTGCCATATTTTTCGTATCGAGGACATCACACTTTTCTCACAATAACACAAATATTTTTCGGTCAATATTTCTGTCAGTTTATTTAAGGAATTATTTTTCACTTTTTAGTTTGAAGTGGTTTAAAAGCGTGTTTTTTAAAACTATACTTATTAAAATTAATAAAATGACGGAGAGAACCGAGAACCTTTTGCTAATTATCGAATCATTTAAAAAGTATTTGTCGGATTTACTAAAAATTTTCAGAGAATATTTCCAATGTATTATACTTTAAGCAAATACCAAAACAAAATATATTTTTTGAAATTTCTGTCCACCCCTAACTTTTTATCGCACTCTTTAGTATTTTTTTTCGTGAGGATCGGTTTGAAAGAGTAACTTTTAACGTGTAAAAAATATTTGGCCTTTATTGAAGTAAAAATTATTTATATTACTACTTGCATATAGTATAGATGTAAGGGGACAGCTTATGCCGAATATATATATTTTACTATTAAAATGTCTAAAACACAGTTTGTTTCGATGTCTTGACATTGTTTATTCGAAGATCAGAAATTAATTTCGTTTATTAATTTATAATTCTGTTTTTAAGGCCGCCAAAGCAGCTAAAACTGTGAAGTATGGAAGTAATGTAGATGGAATTTCTACTTGTGATCCCGAACAATATGCGAAACGATTTCTAGACTTCATGGACAAAGCGATCGAGTAATTAAATGCTTCCTTGTACGCGTATGCTGGTGCCCATTTTTAAAATTAACTGTGAACTGAAATATATATATGGTTATTAGGAATCGTCAACATGTGCATATGCCGTGCGAATTACGTATATATATTTATCCTGTTATTAATTCGACAATTTAAGTTTGATTAGCTCTTTAGTAGATTTGTCAATTTGATGCTTTTTATTTTCCTTAGAATTTAAATTTTTCAAAGACGCGGCGTTTAATGACGTAATGATAAGCATTAAGCTCCTACAAAGTATACGACGCTATCTTTGCTGTTTCGAGAGCCATTAACAAATATCAATTATTTTTAAAGAAATAATTACATTCCATTGGACACAGGTTCTCCCCGTGATTTCGGTTTATTATAACCTTCATCTGATTTCAATACTACCTTATTATATTTTCAATTGAATTTCATCTCCATATCAATAATAATATTTTTAATGACTTGAAATCACATGCATTGCATAGCATCTCCTATATTAACAATCTTTTAGCGAGAAAATGCTAATATCTATATATTCGAAAAAATTAGTTATACCAATGTATGTATGTTAATATTTCGATTTTACGTGAACACTTATGTTACCGGTCTGAATTTCAAACCAAAATTCATATCCGTATCGAGTAAACATGTTTGTAGCAATCTATATGCACTAATTTAAGTGTGTTGCATAGATAATCAAATCGAGATAATCGAGGTGAAACACCCAAACCCGCGGAAACCAAAAGTCTGCTTCATGACTACGTTTGTCCATATACTTGAATAGGAGTTATATTGATAGTTTTGTTTTTCATTTTTCTACGCGTAATATATTTCGGTTCCTTATGTCAGAATAGTGAGTTACATACTTGAAGTGAAAGTTACAAAAAAATAATTCATTTATTATTTGTTTATAATCAAGTTTTATAAAATATCTTCGGAACTAAATTATAAATATATTTAATTCACAAATTTTTTAAATGAACATATCTGGAGGAAATGGTTTGTAATTAAAATTTTTTTTTGTTATTCATTAACCATTTATGAATTCTGTAATACGTATCCAGATATTGATATTAATTTCTTAAATCTACAAAAAGTAGAATAATAAAAATATACTGAATTTGTATTTTTCCACCTTTAAAAGGTTTATTATTAAATGTTTTTCATTGACATGATCTGTGGAACACATTTGTTTAATACTTAATGACACTATTCTGTAAGCAGTCTCTAGTCACTATTTGAGACATTTTGAAGTAAAGTCTCAATTTGTGACAAGTTACGATTCATAATACAGAATCTAGACACAAAATATTGTTTAAAATTTGCCATTTGATAGTAAACGGGTCACAAAACTAAGGTGATTTTAATTTTAATTTTCAATATACTGACCATTCACTTAAAGAGATCATCACAGATATTAACCGATTGTCGGTTTTTATATTTTGTAAGCAACTCAATGATGTAAAAGTTAAAAACTATCAATTTCAAATAAATTTCGTAACTGTTGTGATGCAAAGCTAAATTTTATTTTTATTTGTATTGGTAATTATGTTTTTTGACTGCGTTTTAGAAAATTTAATATTTGTTATCGACATCTTTATTTTCATTCAGGTTTTATATGCATCTCTAAATAAGGAAACAGCTGATAAGATCTGTTCGTTTTCAAACGAGAAACTTGAAAATTTGTTGTGACTGTCACGTACCGCCTTGCAAAATCATCTCAAGTTACAAAAATATTATTTATATGTATATTATTATATGTATATTATTTGAAATCTCAAATTAAGAGACTTGTGACTGTATCAAAGTACAGAATTTCGATATAAATTATATTTATAGAACTGGTATTTACTTGAGTATATTCGGAAATTGTATGCAAGGCAAAGAATCGCCATAAATTGGATTGAGTCATAGTTTTTCGTAGTGAAATTACTATAAATATTTGTTGACTCAGTTTAATCTCAGACTCAGTTTCAGTGTTGATCTGATTATTCAGGGGTGTTGTAGAATCTGATAGTTGTCGGAATCAGAATAGAAAGATTGGTTTGAGGTTCGAAACAGAAATTGTATCGGTTTTGGGTGTCGCGGAAACAAATTTGATCAGTTTTGTTATCAGAAACAAAGCAAGAAGATAGTCGCTGACAGATTTGGAATGTAAGTCAACAAATTAATTTATTTTATTGTTACGAATTAACTTAACTTTACAAAGGAAAACATGAATTAAACACAAAATGCCATAATTATTGAGTTATGGAAAAAAGTGCAGATATTTTAAGAGGATTTACAAAACTTGATAAACGTAATTTTATTTGCAAATGCATTTTTATTCAAGTGGATTACTGTCATCTTTTAATATCTTTCTTTTAATTTTTTCATTGCTTTCTGCTTCCTATAAAATAAAAGCTAAAATAGCGGAATTCATTGTAAACTTTAATAAAATTGCTTTGAAATTTATTCATTTTCAAGTTTTGCACATTAGTAAACAGCTGATTCGAATATTGGTTTTCCGTATGTTCGAAAAGACGAATGACACCATTGAAAATAAAAATTGATTTGCAATTCTGACAACTAAGCAAATCTGTCTTGGATTCCACAACACCATTGATTATTTTTTTTAAACAATACTTAAATGAATTAAAAAATGCTGCTTTATATTTGAAAATACCATATATGATATACATATAACAATTTTAATTAGCTAAAAAGTCTGTTTTTAATTTTACATAAATCAACAAAAAATTAAAAGTTATTCTCATATAAAAATTGCCATATCTAACAAATAAACACAAAAAATATATAAAAAGCATCAATAGTGAAACAATTGTTACTTGTTTTATTTTACACCCCTTTTGCAGAAGACTTGTTGTAACGGTTACCTAATCTCGCTAGTCTCATGCAGACAATACTAAACGAGATTAATCGATGGGCCGTATCATGCGGACTGAATTTAAATGCTAGCAAGACAGAACTAGTATTGTTTACTAAGAAACACAGTACTCCCGAAATCACGCCGCCATTTTTAAATGGCACCAGGCTAACGATAGGGGATAAAGCAAGCTACTTGGGACTAATTTTGGACAGGAAGCTTTCTTGGAAACAAAACCTGGAAGCGAGGGTAAAGAAAGCTGCTACAGCGCTTTACACATGTAAAAGAATGGTGGGGCCCAGGTGGGGACTGACACCTCGGGTGGCTCACTGGCTGTACACAGCAATTGTAAGGCCGATCATGACCTACGGGATAGTAGTATGGTGGCCAATTACAGAAAAGAAATATGCGATTAGAAGTATGGAAAGTATACAAAGAGCAGCTAGTATTTGCATCAGTGGAGCTCTCAGAACTACGCCAAGCCAGGCACTCAACATAATTTTACACTTGCTGCCAACAGACTTATATTGCAAGCAAATGGCAGCGAAGTCAGCTCTAAGACTGAGGGAAGCCTCCCTATTAGTCGCCTGTAACAAGGGGCATTCTAGGATACTTAGGAAGTTCTCGTTTCTTCCCATAACTACGGATTTTTGCAATCCGGGGAGCTGAACCTAACGTCCTCAATATTGCCTTTCCTCCAGAGAGGAGGGGAACGGGATGTAGTGGACAAGGAAGAAGGATTAGCTTCTATACGGATGGTTCCAAACTGGATAACCGAGTAGGCGGCGGTGTCTTCTCGGCTAAATTAGATACCAAAATCGCCTTCCGGTTACCAGACCACTGTAGTGTCTTCCAAGCAGAGGTCACTGCAATTAAAGAAAGCCTTCTTGTGCTAACAAAAAGCGTAATCACAACAAGAAGTGTATTTATATATACAGACAGCCAAGCGGCTTTGATATCTCTGATGTCTCATAGGATTTCGTCGAAGACAGTGAAGGATTGCCATGATCTTCTAGCGGATCTGTCATCCTATTTCACTGTAAATCTGCAATGGGTTCCAGGACACAGTGACATCCCTGGTAACTGCGTAGCAGATGAACTAGCCAGAACAGGCACCACCCTACAACTAGATCCTGGTAAGGTGGACATAAATATGCCTCTGGCTACGTGTAGATACCTAATAGACTTGGCGCGCCATATAACGACTATTGAAGAAACTGTCAGGAAGTAGAAGAGGAGGAGACCATTAAACATCTTCTCTGCGATTGCGCAGCACTATATACGAAAAGAATCGCAACCATCGGTCGTGGGTTTCTTGACGACGTCTCGGAGGTTGCACAGATAAAACTTGTCTCACTGATGAAGTTCGTCAGAAGTACGGGGTGGTTCAGAGAGGAGCCAATAGAGTGAGGGGATCACAGTCCCAGTGGTATCACAATGGGCCTCCTAAAGGCCTAAGTGTGTCGAATGACAGCCACTTTACCTACCTACCTACCTAGTTGTCATCGTAGTCATCTAACTTAGGCTTAGAAAACGTACTCTTTTGACGGCGTCAAACCATAGGGTGAGGGATGTTTGATGAGTGGTGGCACGCAAATAGGTGGTAGAAATTTAACATATTACGTAATATATTCGTTGGCTAAATCATAGGCAGTCGTCTGCTGACAGCGAAACAGCAGGGCCACCCAAACGGCCAAATCGAAAAGACGACGCTGTAAAGCAAAGCGTAAAGCGAGGCATCAGTCAGTGAGATAGCCTTAGGCACTGCGTCTTCTTCATAAGCAAAACCCCGATGTGTTAACGGAAGATTGTGGGGTGTTGAAGGTCACCAACTCCGGCAAGGAGAATGGGCGCTAGAACTACATCCTCCAAATAAACAAAACGGCCGAGGACATTTTGTGTTGGGCGTAGGTAGCGTGTACCTTATTCAGACTCATAAGAAAGAAAATAAATACCTTTTACTTTTAAAACCATTAAAAATAATTATAATTTATTAACCTGAAGAATTGGTGGTTGGCGAAAATCCTCCGCTGAACCCTCTACGAGGTTGCGGATTGGTAATAGATACCACAGTTTCACGACGTAGGCAGGGACGAGCTGGCAGCAGTTTGCCCCTGTTGTAGTAGTGAGGTATCTAGCTCAGGTCAGGCTTCCTATCTGAGTGTTCGTTACTCTTCAATAGTACAGCTGAATAGTCAGCTGAAGAGGCTAAGCTGTCAGCCAAAGGACCGAAAAATAAGGGTGTGACGCCGGCACAATTTTTTTGCTGATGTGGCCCGGAACCGCATTATCATTGGAGTGCTGGATGAGGGAGATCCCGAAGGAAAAATCCAAGAGTCCAATGGAAGTGGAAGCAAGCCGCACTGACGAATGTGGCGTTGGAAGTACTATTAAGCAAAAAAGATTTTATCAGCGAGGGTATGGATACACCATCGCAGCCGGACTAGATAATGCAGCTCATCAGAGTCTGTCAACTGGGGGATGGAGATTTGTCAAGGCCTTCGACGACCCCGCAGCGGAATCTGGTGTGGAGACGAAACGAGCCACAATGCAGATTTTGTTGTTGCTAACAAAAGAATCCGAAGAACTGCTGGCGAAAAGTGGCGGAGAGATCGACTACGGATGTACTTAAGTAAAGGTAATGACCGATAAGTCAGACGCCGATGCAGGCGAAAACATGGCGTCGGAATCGGAATGTGAAGTCGAGGAAGATTCAATGGAGTCCTCGAGTGACGTGGAGAACATAGATCAAGGGGAGTGTATTTCGACGTCTGAGCTCGCAGACAGACTTTCTAAACTCTACACTAAGAGTGAGGTTTTGAGCGACTCTCAAGAAGACGCAGAAAAGACACTAATTAATGCGTCTTCTCCAAGTTAATCTGAACTACAACTCTAATAGTAAACCTCCATCTGGGGTTCCAAAAGACCTGTAGGTCTATTGCATAGCATTTTTTTTATCAACTTATGCATTTATAAATATTTATTTATTTTTTATGCAGTATTATTTTTTTCTTTCATACAAATTACACTTTTTGAGCGTGGTGGCCGATAAGAAAACAAATTGTTTTCTTTTATTAAATAAAAAAGAAGTAAATATTGTTTAAACTATTTTTATTATCTCACAATACAATAACCTACATTATTAAGAATTTTTATCATTGAAACTATAGGTTTATGGTAACTGAAATAAGTTTGAGATTTGGTATTATCTAAATATCTGAAAAATACCGCGTCAATGGTGGTCCCATATTTTTTTGTGGATTCTTGTGGATCATTATTCATTTTCAAATTAAATTTTCACGAAAGAAAAGTTGTTAACCGCTCTGATTTTTTATCAGCGATGTTGAAATCGCCAGCCAAGATAAGTGGAAATTTATTACCATTGATAATCCGATGGAAATACATAATTTCAATTGAATTGTTCAATTCAAAAGATGTACTGTTCCAAAACGTGGGGTAGCTATTTACCAAAATAATAATAATGTTACTTATTTTATTCTTAATAATATTATTTCCCATTAAAAGAATTGTATTTTAAATATAATTATTTTTTAATTACTCTGCTCTTCAATTGATTTGTTCCGCTTGAAATATGCGTAAATACGCCTAAAAGTACTGAACCGGTTAACTTATTAAAAAAAAATTAATAGGGATTTGCTACTTAAATGGCAAATATTCTAGATAAGATTCTTCTATAAAATTGTGCCACATAGCCCCACTTTACGGTTATTCATTCAAAAACATTGAACAAAAAAAAAAACGATATTAAGAGTTTGATCATCGAATTTCGCCTGCATTTGTGATAATAATAAAATGTATGTTTGTATATAAAGTACTCACTCATGTTCTTGTTGTACTTTGTTTATTCATATTTGATACACTTTATACCCAAACTTTACGCGTACTCCCCGAACATGAGTTTGCCTATAAGCGTCTTTTCGCGACGATGGCAAAAATCAAGAATCATAAATTGAACAACTTTCCGATGTTCCTTCTGGAAGTCAACCCCGCAAGCCCGCAAACAGAAAAAAGTGACAAAAATGGCAACATAGTTCTTGTCGATTTAAAATATTTTGCAATTCTAAATTTGTTTTCTATGGCTCGCAAAATTTGCGTCGATATATAAACCGATAAAGGCTATACAATAGCTTAATAATAATGTTACTAATACTATGAGTCCGATATTGAATAATTTATTTTTATTAATTAAATTTTTATTAAATTCCACATTTTTATTTGCCATTAAAAAATTGTATCTTAAATATTGTTATTTTTGAATAACCCTCCTGTCTCTTCAATTTATTTGTTCCGTTTCAGATATGCGAAAACACGCCTAAAAGTATGCAAACATTTTGCGCATACTTTGTGATCGTGTTGGGTTTTTTCCGTTACGGAATTTCTTGATTCAGTCCCGCGCTCAAAGCCTGCGATAGAAGCTCTGCAATAGCTTAAAAAATTAAAGACTTCTTCAATTCCCGTTTTAAAAATTTAAGCACCTTAAAATATGTGAATATAAGTGCTGATATTTATGTATTGTTTTTGTAACTTAAATTTTTTTTATATTTTATAACAATGATCTATAAAAGTGCACATATGAATATTTTTGTTATTATTATTAGGTTGTTCAATTAAGCGGGAATTCTGTAATTGAAAAAATTGTTCAATTAAACGAGTATCGGTTATTTGATTCCCCGGTTAATTGAACCAAAAATTGTGCAATTTTTGGAGTGCAGTTATCCGGGGGATACTGTACAATTATTATATTCGATTGTCATTGTGGATGAAACAGAATTATGTGAAAATTGCGATTAAATATCAGGGGTTGATTTTAAAAGGGTGAAAATTATAATATATTGTTTTTTTTAATGCTGAATCATTAAGAAAAAAAAAACATTTTGGACAAAAAACGAACAAATAATAATATTTGGGGTGAACCACTGTTAACTTTTAGGGGTATGTAAAATAGATGTTGGCCGATTCTCAGACCTATCTAATAAGCATACCAGATTTCATCAAAATCGATCTAACTGTTTCGGAGAAGTTTGACAACAAACACTGTGCACGAGAATTTTATATATTAGAATTCAAAAGATGGGGAATTGTACCACACATTTACACTAGTCTCTTTTTATTCATCTTTAGTTCATTTATTTTCGGGAAAGTACAGGGAAAAGTAAAACAAAGGACGCAGTGCATGATTTATTTTTAACCTATCTAACTAGTTGTTTTAAGCCATAATGTCATATGGGAGGCCAGGACCCGCCATTTACCGCCTTAAGCAAATGGCAAATTTTGTGCCCCTTCTAAGCCTATATTTTGCCTCAACAACAAAATTTACAACTTTTGAAACTTATTCAGGTCATTTAATTATAAAAAACACTCATATTCCAAAGGTTTAATACAATAATTCAAAAATTATTACAATTATTAGTACGATAAAGAAAAAGTTAAGTATTTTTGCGCCTTTAATTTGGAAAGATAAGACAGAACTGTTTTATTGTTAATAGTTTGTGCAACTTTATTTTCAATTGATAATGTTGCTAAACCTGTCTTTCTTGACACATTGTAGAGCGCATGCAACTTTGATAAGTATCATTCAGAGAAACTGTTCTCTCCACTAGCTACTGACAAAGGAAGTGTTAGTAACACCCGTATAGCCGTAAATAAATTTAACACGATATATATTAATTCTTTTGAACAAATAGTATAATTTAAAACGTCCAGTGGTATACTTTTATGAGCATTTTTTTGCCAATGGCTTGCTTGTTATAGATGCAACAATCCACAAAGAGTTAATGAAAATTCTAAACATATGTAAAAGTTTGCAGCTGATCAATATTAAATAAAAATTCAAAAGTTTTAGTAACTTGTTTCGACTGATCGTATCTTTCATCGATTGACAATACAATGCAGTATTTTGCTTAGCATCCCAAATTGGCTCTTCTCCCTTTTCCTAATAGAACTGTCTGTTTTCGAAATTGAACTGGTGCCGTTTTTAATTCGAATGTACATGCAAACATAAGTATGTGACATTTTGAGTGCAAATCAACGCATAGCAACGTACACCATACAGCAACAGCCCCTGGGTGGTACTTTTGATAAAAATTAACAATACTCCCGTTACTGTTTATAATTTGTATTAGAATGCGAAAATTTGAAGCTATGATTTTTGTATATTATGTACAAATGGAATAAATAAAGAAATTTGGTAATTTTTTTTTTTTGTAAATAAAATTAAAAAATAAATAAAATATGTAAAGAAAATTAGCCAAAATGCCGCTCTAATATTCTTGCAATTGCCTAACTCGCTTACATATATGGAAGAGCCGGTTCTGTGGAAGGACGACCCAAGCTTCCTTGTATCATTAAAGATGTTTATACACTAGTTATTTTTATAATAACTTATATATTTATTTCACTTTTGACAGCATATAGTGGAAATATTCATTAACAGCTAGTAAATATAGCAGGTTCCAATCGACTGATTATTGATTTGGTAGGTTTTACTAAATTTTAAAAAGAAATATAGTTAAATTCTAACAGGTAACTTAAGTGTTTATTAATTTATCTTTCACATTTATTTACCACGAAACGATTAACTTGATACCGTGGTCTTGCTTGTTGAGTGGTCTGTGTTAAGTTCCTCATATTTTCAAATCGCTCCCGTATGCTAAAGTTTTTGATATAAAAATTTGTTCCTATTAAAAAACCGTGCTGGTATTGATTTTTGAAGTTCAAACTCACATTTTTGTGCTTTCGATATTTGAATTATCGGATACTTCGTTAGAGTAGATATCAATACGACTTTCATACATTTCCCGCTCTTTCTCATTGGCCTCCCACTTCTCGAATTTCGCTCGTAGTTGCTTAGCACGTGCCGCTGCTTTTGCCTGTTGCGAATGCATACGGTATTACATAGTTCAGTAAGGTATATCATATGTACATATATGTATTTTACCTCCTTAAGAGCCTCGTCATCCAGAGTACACTTGGAATTCCTATTTGATGAGTCGTAATCTTCCTCGTCATCCTCTTCTTCAAAATCTTCGTTTTCATCCTGTGATTCTACGTCGGTGCTGTTTTCATAATCATACACATGGTTACCATCATCTAAAGGGGGTGTAAAACATTTCAGGGGTCGTGGACCAGCATTCTGGTCACTACTACTTTGTTCCATTTCACGAAACTTGTTCAACATCAGTGCAGTAGTGTGAGATTTTTCGAGTACGTGAGTTTCTTCCTCTATCTTATCAGTTTCGTTTGAGTCTTCAATTTCCGATTCAGGCGTTGGCATCTTCACAACTCCCTCCCTTGGCGGAGTTATACGAAATTCTTTCCTTTTTTGCTCGGTTGGACGATACGTTTCAAAAAATTTAAATTTCGAACTTATTTCTGAGGTCTTGATTTTTATATCCTCTGGTTTCTCATCATACTTAACGATGTCCTGTTTTTGCATGAAGGATGAATTTTATATAGATGGCATTACACAAACAAATACAAACTACCCGAGCAAATTTATAAAAAGCAAATTATTAAAATATATTCATTCCAGAACGTATGGAAAACGTAGACAAATAAATACAATGAAATATCACAAGTCTACCATAAGACATACTGTAAAAACTAAATTAACTAAAGTTTAACATATGTATATATTGTCATTTATGTTGTGTATATAGAGTTTGAAGTTTCAAATGGCTATAAAATATAGGTAAGATTTTACTAAGAATAATATATATCAAAATTGCAAAAGATATTTAGTATTATTATAAATTCTGTTTCAAAGTTTACAATACAAACAGCGCGGAAAAATTCGCAAAATAGGGCCGTTTTTTTATTATATTTTGTATGTAGTGTCTACGCATCGTTTTTCCCAAACGTCTAGAGTTGATGGCATAAAAAGAAGTAGTCGTCCTCACGTGATTTGAACCAATTCAACTATAAAAACTGTTCGCGAAAACCCAGCAGTTGCTAGTTATTCTAGCCTATGTCCCTAATTTCATAGCTGCAGAGGATTAGCCGTCTAAAAGTCCAGATTTAAATCGAATGCACTACATGGCCTATCGAATACCCCACAAAAATTTGGAGAGACTCAAAAAATCTTTGTTTCGTGCAGCGTCGTCTATACCAATAGAAATTGCGCGTGCCGCTATTGATCAATGTATCATCGCTCATTTAATATATGCGTTATTCAATAGAATTAAAGTATTATAGTCATTTTTATATCCGTCTGAACTTGTAACAGAACTTATGGCAGGATTTTTAAGTTTGGTTCCTTTTCTCTTACCTCGTTTTCATTTTCGCTATTCTGTCCTCTTGTGTTATATATGTGTTGTTTATTTACTTGTGGATTTGGCGATTTTGGTGAATTCAATTGTTTTCTGTTAGCAACCACATTAGCATCCAATTCCATAAAAATGCTCCGTGAGTTTTTACTAATCGCTAAAATTAGAACGGCATAACAAATTTTAACATTTGTAAAAGGTTTTGTTGTTTTACCTGATTCAAAAACATCTTCATTCTGTAAAGCCTTGTGATTTGTCGAATTATCTTCGCTATTATCATTGGAGTTTTTAAATACTTCTCCTTTTTCGAATCGTTCCTTAAGTGAACGGGCGCCTCCATCATGCTTTATGTCGAGTTTTTTGTCTGATGCCGTAATTCCTATTAGCAACAGAAAATAAAATTATGATTGAATACATCTATTGATTATTCTGTTCTATCTTCAACTGGATAATCTTGTGCTTTCACATGCAAATTTTTGACAAGAGATCACAGCTGAAATATAACAAGAACAGAAGTAGCGAATAAATGTTCAACTTAAGTTCCAGAGATAGATAGGGAGATATTAAGCTGAAATATGGAATTATATTTCTTAAGTGGATTGTCTTTCGATAGATACAATGTCCGATATTTCTTTACAAATTCGTTAACCTATTTCTCTCACCTATTCTATATAGTTGCGAAATAAACAAAACAGTTGGAGAAAGTTAGTTTTACTGTTGTGAAGAGAAATTTTGCACATTGGCTCTATATGAAAACCTTATTTTCATAATATTTATTACACATGTCAATGTTTATACTGTTTGTTAGTCAACAAGTCCTACTGTTTGTTAGTCAACAAACTGCGCTAAAATGTCTTCTGACGCATGCGTAATTGTGCTACGATTATTTCTTGGTAGAGATATTTTTTTATTGCGTTAAAACACGATACAGTAGCCCTTTATTTTTACTTTCAATAAATTATTATAATGGATTTTAAGTCTTAAGTTTTAAAAATACAAGAAAAGAAAGGAATTTTTATATTCTTTTGTCGTTTCAAAACAAAAAAAAAATACTTGGAAACACTGATATACCACTTTAATGAGGTATCCGCAAACTCTCTTGTACGAATTCAACCCGATGGCTTTGTTGTGGCTTTTGCAATTTTCTGACAAACGAGCAGAAGCGAGGAGAGGAATGGCGAATCAAAGACAGCTAATAAAAAAGACATCTTGCAGCTCTCAGATGAGATAATTGTATTATAATTAATCTTATTTACAAGAACACATCAAAGGTCAGCCATCTGCCTCTATTCAATTCATACAATACTAAGCTTCTAAAAGTCGGCGGCATTTTCTAGTTTCTTAAGCGGCTGTATAGGTAGTCATAAAAACAATTATAAGAAAGCGTCTAAAATTGACGCTGTAATAACAACAAATCTAAACAACTATATTCAAAGAGTTCAGATTTATTTGTATGTTCCTTAAACTAGAACAGTAAAAGCAAAACGAATTTGACGTAAAAAATTAAAGTGAAGTAGATGAAAATTCCGGGGGCCTTTTAGAGAAGCATAACACATATATATCCACAACAAACCTTACATAATCTATGTATTTATCTAATGCATAAATTTTTAAAATTTTTAATTGAAATTTTGTAGGTAGGAAAATATGTTTTAGTCAATTTTTTATACTCCTAATGAACCTTTATCTCTGGAATATATTTTTAAAGTAAAACCTATTTTAAATTGTCTTTTATTCTTCCATCCGCGCATCATCATGTTTAATTACAGCTTTCTATATTTACATATAGATTTCATTCCATGAAGTACATATCACAACGAAGCCGGATATTTTATCTAATTAAACAAAGTAAGGCGTGACCATGATTTCATCATGACCAATTCTTTAATTAGGGATCAGGGTCATAATGAGTATGTCAACTATGTAATGCCAGCTCAGCCTAGCGTATCAATAAACTTACCTTGCTCTGATTCAGCGACAGCTTGTTGGTACATCTCTTTGATGCGAGCTTGTTTTCCCATGAAGAGTCGTGAACGTATGTTTTGAATTTCCTGTTTACGTTCTTCCCGCCGCTCCTCTTTAGACATCATGTGTCCCTTCTCAAACCTCGTTTTTATATCGTGCATGGCATGACCAAGTCCGACTGGTCGTTCACGTTGTGTTCGTTTCTTTGAGCTAACTAAGTCCGCATCATCATCTTCATTACTATTTTCTTCAATTTCTATATCGCTTATATCACTGTTGCTCTTCGAGGAGTAATCACTCCCATTGTCTAGCTGTCTATCGCCAATCGCTTTTAAACTTAGATCTGAACTAATTCCTTGCGATTTCAATTTCGCTATTTTCGATAATATCGAATTGCTGTGCTTAACAGGGTTTCGCTCCTCTGGATACTTTTCTTGTTCCTGGTGGGTTTGTGCTGCATTTTCAAAAACTTGAAATTTTGAACGTACATTGAGTTGTTGTAATTCTTCCAAACCTAGATCGGGTTTGTCTGAAGCTATTTAATTTTTTTGTAATCAAAGAAAGAAAGAAATTAAGACATTAATATATCGGGTAGCTTGTGTTTTCATGAAAAACGTTTAAAAAAGTTGTTGATTATTGTACCTCTTACAACATCTGGAGGTAACTCAACTGGTTGATTTTCTCTAACGATTAATTCCGGTTTACGTGGAAACTCGGTCTCAGAATTTTCAACACATTTCGGGGAAAATAATAGTTTGAAATGCACCATACAGTAGAAGACTCCCTCATGACTTTGATAATTGTCGACCCTATGATAACAATAATACGAGGAATCAGCTCAATTATATCAATTTCAGTTAGTATACACAATGAATAACAAACAATATACAGGCTAGTATTATAATATATTACGTATGCAAAACATATACAACTAATAAAGAAGATTTCAGTTCGTTCGATGCCGAACTTCAGCTACACTTATTAATCGTACAAAGATATTACGTAAACAAGAAAGGGCTAAGTTCGGGAGTAACCGAAACTTCTGTACTCTCGCAATTTTCCAAGATCATATTAGGTCTAGTAAACAGAAATCCATAATTCTTTCAATAAATTGAATGTTATATTTTGCATAGTAAGAATGATCCAATAAGTGAACTGTCTGCTTGATTTATACACTGTTAAGTGAAAGAATCATATAGACGTTTACATTTTTGGTATGTGGGAATAAGGTGTGGTTGTAGTTCGATTTCGCCCGTTTTCACAATGTAACAGATGAATGCCAAGATAATATTATGCACCGAATTTGGGTAAAGTCGATCCCGAGATATAGAATTTCACCTAAATTAATCGTTATGAATCTTAAGGTGAGCGATGCCATACCCATTATTCAATATCGTCTCTTATGAAGCTTTTAAGCGCCATCTGGGCTGTGTAATTTAAAGGTTCTGACGTATTTATTTGATGAGTCGGCGCACTTTTAGTTATTTTCAACATAACCGTTATATAGGCAGCGGGCGATTTTAGTCGGTTTCATCAATTTTCTCACTGTTTAAGCTAGCTCCTCCAGAGGGACTTATTGTTAATAAGTTTGGTTGATATAGCTTTAGAGGTTTGTGAGATAACTGCAAATGCTTCTTCTTACTTCGATGCCCGCTGTGGCTTAGTTTTGGCCTTTTAAAATTGTTTACTTAACGGAGTTTTTTGGACGTGGCAACTTTCCAATTTCGCCCAACCAATCTGCCTAGTGTGCCACGGAATACATATTATATATACTAACCATATTATTTTTCGATATTTTTAAAATATCTTTTGGTGTCTTATGTTTCTACAAATATTCTCCAAGGGTTTACCGAAATTTTATTAGTTTAACCAATTATATGTATAGCTTAGTAAGTAGACACAAACAAAAAGCGGTGATCCAGTCAGCAACTGAATTAGACACATTTGTATATACTAATGAAATGAGTAGAAAAACTTACTTCAATTGTTTATTACATTCACAGCAGCGGAAGCAATTCTTATGATAAATGCTCTTTTCGGCCTTGATTTCCTCCATTTTGTATACAGGTTTAACGCACAGGCGACAATTGATTTCCTTATCACATTGTGGATTCTGCGACGGGAAATACATTTCTTACTGTTATAACATTAAAAACATGTATGAAGGGTTAAGTTCGGAAATAGCTGAACATTACATATTCTCGCTTTTTGAAAGATTTAAACGCGTGTGAAATGTTTCACTCACTCGTTCTTGGACTCACTTAGCTTCATTACTATACTACTACTTCCTATATCCGAAACATTTTATTATATTTAAAATCAACCTAACTAACCCAAATCACTAAATATTAATTTGTCCATTTGTAAACAATTTTTTTCCCCCCGTTCGTAATATTTCAATACTAAAATTCCTTCGAAAATAGTTTAGTATTTTTGTTTTGAAATTCAATTATTAAAAAATATGGTATGAATGCAAAACCATTTGTATTCGCTGGTAACGAAAATATTTCCTTATATACATATGTAAAGTTTAGCACTTATAATAAGATTTAATAATGTAAACATTTTGATTAGCAGATTGATAATATCACTAGGGATTAAATAAAATACACATTTGTTTTGTTTGAAAAAGATGATAGTGTTACATGTTTGGGTTAAAAATGAATGAATGCTTACATTGAATTTTTTTTGTGCTTTACCAGCGTCACTTGAACGTACATGTATTAAGTTGCGCTTCTGCAGGGCATCGAATTTGCTAAAGCTGGATTTCTAAAAAAAATTCAATCAAATTTTAAATAAATTGAAATAACAAATTCAAATTTAATTGAAATAAATAGAGTTGGACGAACTATATTTAATCTTACTTAAGGTGGACTTCACATTCCTTTTCACATAATAACTAATCTAGGGTAAGGTAATGTTTCAATTTCATTTTCAACAAATAGATCAGGGTAGACAATTTTAGAAAAAAAAAAAGTCATAGTAGTATGAAACCCATTGGTAATGTTAAAAACCAGCCCGTACTCCTACGTCCAGTTCGTGAATCTGGTCGCTCTGGATTTGGTGGAAGAAAGTGTCAAGCTCCTTGCAGAGAAGAAGCGAGAAAGGTCGGAGAGATAACCGTTTATATTCGAACACATGCCAATGATGCTATTGCCCGACATCAATATCGCAATCGTACTAGGTGATACAAATTCGCTCTGGTGGTTGATGGAGTTTCAAAATGTAAAAATTTAACAGTAATGGGGAGAGGGTACCACACTTCTGAACCCTCTGCTTAATTTTTCTACATTTGAAGTTTTGACCTCGGCGGTGCTGTGCACTTTGCGCAGCCATGTATCGGACGATGAGACTCCCCTTGGTTGGCGGGTTTGCCAGGTTTCAGTAGTCCTTCCGACTTTCCACACGTCGGGTATTTAAAGAGTTGCCAGCGACAAATTGAGGACCTTGGTTAGGTAGCTTAGTCCCGTCGAGCCTAGATGTTTTAGCATCAGCATGTTTTTTCCCCTCTGGGCCACTGGATTTGAATGATTTGGCCTTATTGATGACACTCCAAACCTTCTCATCGGTGAAAGTAAGTGGTGCGCAGCCGTCGGGTAAAATATCGCTTGGCCTTGTCTTCGAAGGATGCAGTGTGCAGCTGCCGGCGAAAATAGCTCGCGCTTTTCATTGAATTGAATTTCCACCCGATCGTCATGTCTCTTCGGATGGCGTTAGATATCGCGCTCGTTTGCTAAAACAGCTGCTTCGGATGAGAAGTGTTCAGATCGGATCACTATAACATATAGCTGACATACAAACTGAACGATCGGAATCAAGTTCTTGCATGGATAAAATTTTTATTTGGCGGCAAATCTTCACGAAATTTGCAGCGGGTTATTGCAATAAGGCAAACTCTCAAGAAATTGTTTCGATCGGATAACTTAAGCATACAGCTATCATGCAAACTGAACGATCGGAATCATACGTACTGAACGTAAAGAATCCTTTGTATTTGTGAAGTGTATTAAAAATTCGGTGCAACCGAAGTTAACGTTTTTTATTGTGTTTCCTTTCATTTTTGTTATTTTATCTTTATTTTCCAATATCATCTATTGCTATGAATTTTTTTTAACATTTACCATTTTCAAAGGTTCTGCACTAGCTTATTAGCAAGTAATTATCTCCTACCACTTGGTAAACTTAATCAGGTCTAAAGATGTGCGCTAAACTGGCATTGTGGAATAATACGTTTGGCCTCTGATTAAATAATTAGCCAAGGTCGGTGTAGTCGGCCCTTAAATCAATTTACCCATTTGGAGCTAGGCTAATCAAATGAAATGGCTTAATCGAAACTAATTAAACTTAATATAATCCCGTAAAAATAATTTAAGCGATTGATTCATTTACATTTAATCTAATATATGCACCTTTAATTAAAAAAAAAATAAAATGAAATCAAATTTATTGAATAATGAAAAATTCAGCTTTAGGTTTATCGTTAAAGCTCTCCAACTTACCACCGATATATTCTCATGATCCGTTTCACCTTTTCTACTTTTCTTACTTCTTGCTTTCTTTTTGCCATTGTCTGTTGCTAGCTCTTGTTTGCTTTCGACGGCTGCAACGTTCTCATTTTGCAGGACCTCGGTCGGCTCTTTTATGCTTGCGGAAGTTTTGGTTTCTGTGGTCGTTGAACTAGACATAGAGCTTATTGTAACGGCACCGGATAGTTTTTTCTTGGTTACTTTAGGCGGATAACTGCTCTCGAGGCCATCGAGAATACTGTTATTAAAATCAACGCTAATCGTCTCAATATTCTGGCTCTTAGCGGACTTGAGTGTTGACTTTTTGGTTACTTTGCGTGTAGTTTTTGTGGGAGCCACGGTTGTAGATAAGCTGGTAGACATATTGGCTAAGTATTGCTCTTCAACTTTGAAAACTGTTTGATATTTCAACAGAAAGCGCGACATAAACAAATTTGCATTAGTACTGATTTCTGAAGTAGTAACAAGATCTTGTCATATACTTCAAACAAAGGATATGAGACTACATTAAAGGTAACAGCTATCCACATGTTTTTAATTCAATACGATAAAAAAGTCTGCATCGTCTCCTTGAAGGAAATTATTTACCAATTAAAACACCATTTTCACATAAATAATTTTTTTGGAGGGATGCACAAATTTCAAATAATGAATTAACTTGAATTCACCAAGGTATATTTATACATATGTAAACAATGTAATTATCACAATGGGCCTCCTATAGGCCTAGGTGCGTTGTTAGACAGCCACTCTACCCACCTACCTACAATGTAATTATCATGTAAATATGCAATGCATAATACCGAAATTTTCTAAAGTACATTGACATAAAAATTAATATTAGTAATTAAATCGGACATAAGGCTTATGCGTGCGACGCAAAGAATGCGTACAAGCTACAGACTCACAATTTTTCCTTCCATTTCGTATGTTGTAATTTATTTTTAGAATTCTGCAATCAAGGTAGCAAATGAAAGATAAGGCAGATTAATAAAGAATGTTCACACCCTTTTGAAATCAAACATTGTAAGAACCATGTCATCATAAAACTTATCCCAATATTTATAAGAGCACTCTGGTGCACAGGAATCTTGCGACTATTGCCCAATAATATCAGTACTGGATGTAAACAATACTGCTGATCAGTTCAACTGTAGCATCATCCACTTCTCATATCTCACCCATTGCTTTAACAATTTGAACCAAATTCCGTGGACCAACCCATTGCTTTAACAATTTGAATCAAATTCCGTGGACAATACAACAGATTGAAAATTGGGAAATTTTAACCATAACTAAGCTTACTTGCCAGAAATATTTTACTCAGCTTGTATATTCCTTTTGAAGCTTGAATAAAAATTGCTATTAACCTTTGTGACCACAAATATCCATATAAACAAAGATACGTTGGATATTTCATTGAATTGATTTATTTATTCATTTTTATTGATTTAAATATACCTTGAACGTATTATTAAATTTTGCACGAAGTTTGTAACACCTAGAAGAAAACCTCGGAGATCAGCGTGACGAGCTGAGTCAGTTTAGTCATGTCCGTCTGTCTGAGTGTATACATGCGAACTAGTCCCTCAGTTTTTGAGATATCGATCTGAAATTTTGCACACAATATTTTCTTCCCAAGAAGCTGCTAATTTATTGGAACCGCCTTAATCGGAATACTATAGAATATAGCTGCCATACAAACTGAACGATCAAAATCGAGTTCCTGTAAGAAAGCATGAACCTCTGAAAGGTATTATAGCTTCGGTGCAGCCAAATTAACGTTTCAACTTGTTTTTTTTTTATCAAATTGTAACCGTCGACATTATTTCAAGCTTATTTATAGAAAAACACTCAGATTTGACCATGTGTGCATGTATTAATGGGATCTAGAGTATACTTTTATGTTAATCATTTCCACATTCGACGGACGTAGTCCATGTATTTGAAAATATATTTATTTACTTTTTCTTAAATTATTAATCCCTTTTTTTTGAAAGTGTAGTGCAGGAAAGTTCTGCTGTGGTTTATAAATGAAGACCTGCAAAAGCCGAAATATTTATGTCAAAATTATCTGCTGTTTGATGCCAATTCGAAATGCTTTTGTAACTGTATTATTATAGTAATTTTTATTTTAGCTGTACTATGTATTGTGTATACTTGAGGGCACTATTACCTTAGGTCGCGGTGAAAGTCCCCATTTCAATTTTATTGTGTATACTAAAATATAAATAATGCACTACTAAAAGACAAAAACGTATGACAAAATTCTGCAATATCGGGCGGCGTTTTATTTAAATATGCCAACGCAGGTACACTCAAACATAAATCCATATGGAGCTAGAAATTTAGTATATTTATGTAAGGCGAGTGAAACGATGTCGATTTTCTGTAAAATTTGAAGATACCTTTCGGAATGACGATGTATGTACATGCTTATACAGATATATATTTATAGACAAATAGGTCGCTGTTAATTTTTGAATGTGGATTGGAATTTGTCATGAAAACTTAATCCTTCATTCATCATCATACTAATAATCATATGTTAATCATAACATACTGCGTGTACTACATATCTCTGTATGTATATATTACAATATTGCTGATTACTAATACGCCTGGTTGTCCGCAAATCTTTGAGTAACTTTACTGTTGAAAAAATTACATAAGTTTGCAGTATGCAGGTATTTGCAACGAAATCCTGCTATTTTACGTGTCACAATATCGTTAGTTTAACACAAATATTACTTTCATGGTAAAGATTACATTAACAACCAAATGATCTATATATGTATATGAATTCATCGATGTTTTTAAGAGCTAATTTTTATACGAGTATACCTACTTTAACTATTACAGATCTGCTAAGTTTAAACTCTATCAATAATGCACTCTCGAAATAGCCGACGTTGCTGCCGCTATTTGAGCAACACAAACGATCGAGTACGCCAAACTGATTGAATGCGCACCGTGCACAGTTTTCTGAACCAACGTAGGCCTCGAGCAGAAAACACTCGACCAACATTTTATGTACAAAGTCTTATATTCACGCATATATCATTAATACATTCACGTTTGTGCACGTACATAAGTGTATATGCAAGCGATTAATGCTGGCAATCGAACTATTTACAATTCGTAAAATCCTAGTGCACAAACGACTCAGAAAATATTTAATTTTCGGCACAGTAAAACGTATAATTGCTAGTTCGGGTATGTGTGTGCATTCACATGTATCAGATAGATGTTTATATTTTTTGCTGTGGGTAATATACGTACGTAAATAAATAAAATGCCTAAAATTCAACAATTTGTGTTTTTAAAGAAAGAACTAAAGTTTAGTTTTTGATATATTATTAAAATTTACGGTATTTGCGCTATTTACATATACATTTGAAAAGTTCGATTTTCATATTTAATAGTGTCATTTTTTTTTTTGCCAGGTGACGTGATTAGAACTTTACGTATATTTTCGTAACAAAAAGTTATGTATTATAATTTTCAACTAATTTTCTGTGAAAAATAGTGTAAGTAAAATTCATTTCTACTTCAACTATGCTAAGATATCATACCTGTTAAAAATTTGTAATTCAAACGGTACCAAAGTTTTGATATTTTAGATTAAAAAAAAACGCTCACATTAAAGAACGAAAATCGTATTTGGACTATTATTTATTAAGTTTATTACGGAAATTAGTATATTTTATGCTGTGTGCTGTAAATCACATCCGTATAGTAGACCAGCAACGGTATACTTTAGAATCGTGCTAAATGTTTGTATCTTATGATGGAAATTTGGGCTGATGGATGGTGTTAAAAAATAATCTTTATTTTGCGTGCATTGAGTTTGCTTGTATATATCTAATAATTTCTATAATAAATTACACATTACTGCACAATAATCAAAAAGCTGCTTATTTTTACATGCCATTTATTTTTTGACAAACTTGCACCTCTGTGAGAATGTCCTCAGCGGCGTCAATGCCAATTCGTCGAAAATTATGCAGAGCAAAAATTGTGGTTTTGGGTAATTTAAAAAAAAATAAATTTATATATTAACCAGAACTTAACTGACAGACGTGATTACGATGTATCCACCAGTAGCTTCTTTCATTATACACATATATATGCATACATGTACTATGAAGACGAAAACGTTATAGCCGGAAAATATGTAGATATGTATTAAGCGCAAATCAACATAAAATGTAACATTTTTTATTTTATTAATCTTATATTCAAGTTTGTTTGATTATATGTAACATTTAATATTACGAATGAGGTAAGTAGGGTAGACCATTCTTTATTATTAATTTTTAAATTTGTTTTAATTCAGTACTATTCGCTCTACAATATTCTTGTTTATCTCTGGCTAGCGCAAATAGAATCGATAGTTTTCCTACACGTGACATTAAAACATATAACATAGTTGCCCATGGGAAAAAGATGGATTTTTCAAATGCAAACTCATGTATTTATAGACATGGTGATAGCTAACTGAATGAGAAGCTGTAATCTCCTGAATTGAATCGTAGATTAAGATGGTATTATTGTCATACTTGGCAAAAAAAATATTGCTTTAAGAATATTGCCGGTGATCTTTGTGATGACCAAATTTGTACCCTTGAATAATCGAGTATCTTCAACCTAAGATTATACGGTGTCATTCCAGCTATACTTGTATGTACATATCTAGAGAATATAAAAGTTCAAGGGAAAATTTACAGGTTCATTTTCAGCCACAGCTGTATCGAATGATTTAAAAGACATCAGCACGTCTGGTAACGACTGCTGTATCTGGAACTCAGTTTAATATTGAAATTCCAAAATACCCAAAACATTTTTTTAAAATGCCCAAGAAGGCTGTGATGAAGAGATAGCCAACCTGTTCCAGTGTGAGAGAGAAAAGTTATGGTATATTACCTTGAAAGTGGGCAGGAAACTGTTCTGTACAATTTGCGTTGCATCAAACGACGTCATTTGGAAACAATTGTTATATAATATTTTTGGATGTTGACTAAAAAGTGTTTAGAGTAATTTTTCATACCAAAACCTGAGTGTAATGGATCAGGTGGTGGGACCAATTTTACTTTTCCACCAGCACAACATAATCCTGCAGATTCACCGCTTATTTTAAAGCTTTATAATGTTGACAAATGATTGATATTTTTTTAATTGTTATAGATTTGTCCCCCAATATTGCCTTCATCTCCAGAGAAGAGTGCGAAAGGTGCGAAGTGGATGATGAAGAAGATGGTTCAGAGAAGAGCTAATAGAGTGAGGGGTATCACAATGGTCCTAATCAAGGCCTATGTATGTCGAAAGACAGCCACTCTAACTACCTACCTTTAGATTTCTCGGCACTTTAATTCATTTCCGGATCGTAAGAGAATCCTACCAGGTTCACTAAAGCATTGTGTCTGTGGAATCGATCAATTTCATTTTCTCGACTCGCTGAGCTTTTGACAAATTGTTGGGGCTATCGACACAACCTTATATATCCGTAATTGAATCATGAGTCCAATCAACTACAAGCATCAAATATTTCAATACAACGACAAAAATATCTTAACAAACTAACAATGACAACCTTCAAAATATTATTAATATGTTTTTTTTTTGTTGATTTATGTTGTCAACTCAAATACAATTTTCTTTATATTATTATTTCTTTCTCGCAACTTTTCTATAGTTTCTTACTTTTTAAACCTTCCATGGCCTACAATAAACATTTCAAACCCATAATCGGTCCAGCCTTTCTCGAGTTTTAGCGAAAGAAACGAATATTAGATGAGATTGGATATGTTCCTCGCAATTTTTCCATATTTTTTATCGTTTAAATCTTCCCCGAACTTCCACGAATACATATTTCATAATTGGCGAGACAGAAATTCATTTTTAAATACATATATAGATTAATAATAGTTCTGATGTGTATTTAAAGGAAATTATGGTGAAAATATTCTGAAATTATACTTATGATTATGAAATTACGCATACAAAATATCGCATACAAAAATTACCCATTTTTTGGCAACTATTATATCCGGAGGAAAACTGAAAAAACTTTTTTGTTTTTAATGGTTTGCATAATAGTTTCTGCATCTTACCACTGCACACTTTATTTTTCAATATCAATATATTTTATACTTTCTAAATAAATATAACCGTCGTAACTTTTAATCATTCACCTAATTGGCAATTATGTTTTCAATATATAAATTTATTTATTTAGAAATAGTCCAAATATATTCACGCAATATTATTCTATTCATTTCACTAACACGTTTTTACTTGAAACTAATAAATTGAATTCATTTTACGAATTAACACAAGTGTTTGTGTTTTTGTTCTATGCTTCTTTGACTCATTCTAAAATAATTACGTCACAAGATGGCGGTATAGTGCAATTTGTATTTGTAGCAATTGTCACAGCCTAAACCGAAAGGTAACGGTAAATACTTGTCGTGATCTTGTATTCTTTCATTCCTGATGTAAAGATTGTATTTTTTGCTTATTATGTTAATATTCAGGAATGAATGAGCCTTAAGAAAAATATCAGTTGACTTATAGTAATATTGCTATGTAGTACCACGAAGTTTGTAACACCCAGAATGAAACGTCAGGGACCCTATAAAATATGTACTTATATATATGATCAGCTTAAAGAGCTTAATCCATTTAGCCATGTACGTCTATACGCGAATTAGTCCCTAAGTTTTTGAGGTATTGATAAAAAATTTTGCAAACGTTTTTTTCTCCCTTAAAAACAGCTCATTTTTGCCGGAACCGGAATCACTATACCATAAGCTCCCATTCAAACTAAACGATCAAAAGTAAGGTCTTCTATGCAAAGCTATTTTATTTGATGAGATATCTTCACGAAATTCGGAGTGGATAATTGTCGCAAGCAACAGTACAATCTTCTAAGGAATGGTTCAGATCGGATATAGATATAGAATATAGCTGCCATAAAAACTGAACGATCAAAATCAAGTTCTTGTATGGAAAACTTTATAATTTATAATTATACAACGGTATAATCTCTTAAAAAATTGTTCAGATCCACTACAGCATTATTTGTGAAAAGTATTATAATTTCGGTGCAGACGAAGTTAACGTTTTTTCTTGTTGTTATTTTAATTAAGAAAATATGTACATATTTTTCAGCGACTATAAAAATAAGATGCGCGTGTAAATACTTTTAGGGATGCTACATTCAAAAAAAGTTTTGTATTTGGGATGCTCTATTTGTAAAACAAATGTTTTAAAATTCTAAATCGCTGCATATAGTTGAAAAGACTTATGTAAATACGAATTTTATTGCAGGAACCCATTAAGTTTTTTCTTATGCGGAATTGGTGTAATTTTTGTAATATACAATATATATAAAGTAGTGGCCAGCATTTTATCGCACAATTGTACATTCTAGCGTTGGCGGTATAACAGCAAACTAGTATCATGCAATGACCTCGCTGTAAAAACAAATGACCAATACGAGAATTCCGCGATTATAAAAAATTTTGGTGACATGTGTTGCATGCTGTAAAAATTTATAGATTTAATTATTTAAATTTCACAGACTCAACAATAATAATAATAAAAGTATATAGTCTTTATTTAATGAGTCAATTATTTTCCGGAAACATTCTTTCATTCAGTTCCCCGTATTCAGTATCTGGAGCGTGATAAGATTTGATCCGATTGCTACCATTTTTGAACGGGATATGACATAACTTTAAGGCACTATTTGTTCGAAGTTTTTTTCCGATAACTTAATTAGTGTTTGATTTGTATACTGTAATGTAGAAGAATCAGACGGAATTTGAAATTTTATTATATGGGCATATCTCACAAACCAATAGAGCTATTGCAACAAAAGTCCTTTTGGTACTGACATTAAGTCCTTTTGGTACTTCTTTGTGTATTGTGAAAATCGGTTAAATCAGAAAATAATAATCATAGGAATCGGTATCAAAATTGGATAATGGGCCGCTCACCTTTAGGTGAAATTCTATATTACAAGAACTTCTGGACTAATTTCAACTAAATTTGATGCATAACACTATTTCAATATTCGCATCATGCGAATGTGAAAATGGTCGATATCGGACCACAACCACGTTTACTTCTCACATATAAAAATTAAAATTTCATGTGAATATCTTACTTTACAGAATATAAATTAAGCATCAAGAAATTTGTGGGAATGTAAACAGTGCCTCTAAGGTATACCACCTCACGTCCAAAGAAAAACGAAATCGGACTATAGATTTTCAAGTCCTAAGATACGTAACATGCGGAAAGTGCCAATAGTTTATTTTTGACCGAAATCATCGGTTAAACTTTGAGGTATATTAGAGAAAATTTATCTTATAATAGTGTGTCCTTAAGATGCCGCCATCGACGACATTAACCAGCCTCATTGAAATGTGCCAGAATGATAACTTTGCTAACACTGCTTTATTCCGAAATGCATGAAGTACATACAATTAACCATTAATTTTAAATGAAGACATGTGCTTGATGCTTAATAAGGATTGTCTGGATACACCAACAACAAAGACCAAACTCATCGAGAAAGTTTACCCAAAAAAATTGCACAAGATTACAAAAATCATGCATCACAAGGTTTAGCGAAAGAATTATATTGGCTGCAAATGGATTTTCAGATTCAAAATAAGATAGCTTGCGAATTAATGACACATAAATCGATTGATTTCGTTACTAACCAAGACGATGATGTCAACTATCCAAATAAGTTGCTTTATTCGCTAGAACTGCCCAGGTTACAATCTCATAATTTGCAACAAACAGTCGGATCGGCATGATTATGTTGATAAATATTAATCTGTCTCGTCTTTGAAATGGCACCTGACTTCTGATCAAGAAATTAATTAAAAACGTCATCGAAGCCACAATTTTGAAGGGGAAGTACAATGGCGAAGACGTTTTGATCTCACGAATTTGATTCCGAATGATATTCTATTCGATCTTCAAATAGTCTAGCAGGTTCAACGTTATCGTTTTCAAAAAAGATTGGAATATAATAGAAATATGTCAAATTGTCAGAATGTTAAATGATGAGAGTTGCCCAAAAATTTGTGAACGTTATCTGTAACCTATTTTTCAGTAAAAAAATTAATATTTAAAGTAAAGAAAACTCCTGAAATACCCTTAAAAATCCCATTCGACTCTTTTGACTCCTAAATTTAGGGGGAAACCCCCAAGTTGGTAACACTGCACTTCAATTTTGCATTTTCATTTATGATATTTCACATTTGTATGGTCTCACAAACATAAAAACAACAGCTGTATTTCTATGCGCTGTGTGAAGTATAACCGCGGTTATGTTTCACATGCAATAATTGTCTATGCAGTGCTGTGCAAGTATGCATAACTGAGCCTTAAGGTTTCGACTTGACTTGACAGAAATTTGAAGAAAAAAGAAATTAATAATTTTAAAATAATTTATTTGTCGGATTTACTTCAAATTTTCAGAGAACTTTTGTAAGATGTTATCCTTTAAGTAAATGCGAAAAAAATCGATTTTTGTAAACTCTGACTACCCCTACACGATAAAGATTTGAACACAAAAACTCTGATGTAATAAATTCATTAGACAGGTATAAAAAACTTCCTCATTTTGCTCCAATCGACTTGAAATTTTGCACAATATTGTTGAAATTATATGCATTTAGTTAACAAAAAATATAAAATAAACACATTTTTATACTCTCCTAATTCGATTAGTATATCCATAAAGGCTGCTTCGTCTTCAAACAGGTACAATTTCCAGTGCAGCTAGCATTTGCATAACAACCTCACTAAATGCCTGCAAACGCTTGGTGATCCCTGTTATCGACGATCATACCGACAATGTATACAATTAAAGTCACTACTCATGCATACATCGCAATTACAACCCATTTTAATCATTCACTTAATCGGCAATTATGTTGTAATACAAAAACGTTAATATGCACAGATAGCAAGTCTACAATCTCAGCTCTTCTTAATGGAACCAGCAAGTCTTACCTCATTTCGCAAATTAGAAACATACTAATTGGTAACAGAAATATAAAAATTATGTGGGTCCCAGGTCACGCTGTCATTACTGGAAATGAATGGGCCGATCATAACGCCAAACTGGCTGCAAAACAGCCATTGATTGTCTTCGACTACATTGAAAAAAAGGATATATTCCGTTTAATCGCTTCACAGGAAAAAGACATAAAAGTTAATGCTTGGAAAAATGTGCAACACCACTACGCCATCTGCAATCAGAACAGGAATAAATCTGTCTACCCACCCTCAGGCCGATGCCATGACATCAAGGCCTTTGTTCGCCTTCGTCTTGGCCATACGTCATTAACGCACTCTCATATATTAAATGAAAACAGAATTCCACCCTGCACATATTGCAACTCGCCGACCTTATCCATAATCCATCTACTAGATGAATGCCCCTACTTCAACTCTGCAAGAACCAGTATCTTTCAAAACAATAAAGCTCTTGATTTACTAAAAGTAACATCTATTGTAATTATTACCAAAATCTCTGAATTCCTATCTCGTACAAATTTAAAAAAATACATTTAAGCTAATCCTTCCTTTTCTAAATTTATTTATAACATATAATTTTTATTGCATAAAAACATATTGTTTGTAAATAGTTTTTTACACGGAAGATATCATTTTTATTATTTAAGACCTTTATAATTAAAGCTGCGAGCTGAAAGCCTCTAAAGCTAGTGCTCCTTTTACTTTGTAAATTAATAATTGTATTATTATTTTTCATATAATAAATAAAATAAATAAATAAATATGTTGTCAATATATAAATGTAACATTATTCTATTCGTTTTACAAAAACTTTTTCCTCATAAACTAATAAATTAAGTTTTTTTTCACGTTTTAATAAAAGTATAGACGTTTTTGTTTACAATTTACAGGCTATTTGACAATTTTTCTATGCTGCCTCTTCTCATTCTAGAAGAATGACGTCACATGAATTTGTTTGACGTAATCTTGTTTATTACCTTTCTTGGTTCGCTCTCATTTTATGTCGTCACTTCTGTCACAGCCGAAAACAAACGTAGTAACTTTAAAAAGTTGGCGTAAACTCTCATTTTCATTCATTTATCAAACATATAGGCCCTCGTTGAATGAAAACATGTATGTATGTATTTAATATGCGTTAATGGGCGACGGCGACACGACAGCGAAATTTTCAGGTCGGCAAATGTCTTGAAGCCCGCTTTTTGAACATTTTGAAGAAACATATCAAACAGCTGATATACACAATTTCCTTGTTGCCGTACTAAAACCTTTCACTTCAATGAAATTTAAATGATTTGTTCAAAGTGAAATTTTTTGTCCAAAATTTAATATGCGTTAATGGGCGTTGCGAGTATGAAAACTAATGCTCTGAAATCAAAGACGACGGCGACACGACAGCGAAATTTTCAGGTCGGCAAATGTCTTGAAGCCCGGTTTTTGAACATTTTGAAGAAACATATCAAACAGCTGATATACACAATTTCCTTGTTGCCGTACTTAAACCTTTCACTTCAATGAAATTTAAATGATTTGTTTAAAGTGAAATTTTTTGTCCAAAAAAAAAGGCAAATAGGTTGATTCATTGTTTTAAATTATCAAATAATATATCGCTACTATTTTATGCTTCTATTAGTAAAATAACATAAGAATTGTTAGAATAATTTTACATTTCACATATTAGTGGCAACAATACAGACCATTGTCGTTTTAATTTAGCGATAGCGACAATTGTAAGCCTGCTGCCGTGAAGTCGTGCTCCTGTTTAAATAACTGTGCTCATAAGAGCGTGTGTATTTTAATTTTGACAGATGCTGCCTGTCACTTGTCGTCGTCTATTGGCACAAACAGTCACCGACGCAAAACCGTGGACCGAATCAGCTGATGCGACCTATCTTATGAGAGCGCAATGTAAATCATCAGTCACCACCGCTTCTACCGTCCGCAAAGATGGCATGATGCGAGACTCTCCCATTTTCCCTAATTTTTCTGTTATTCTCTTTCCCTGATTATTAAGATTAGGGAATTTTGAACAGCTGATATCAAAAAAGGCGATGCCAGAAATAAACCCGCTAAAAATAGCTAACAAAAGCAGTGCGAAACGAAATTTCAAGGAACGTGCAACTAATTTAATTAAAAGCGTTAATCATAAAACCATGATATTTTATTATGACTTGTATTGCTTTTTTGTTATAATTTTTTTTATTTTTATATAATTTTTGTAATATGATGTTTTAAAAATTTTATAATATGAAAACACGTATTTAGGGATGTATATTCGTTATATAGGCCTACTCGGGAACCGAGGACTTAAAAATAATAGCGAAATGCATGATACCCAAAAGTTATTTTTAAAATACCCAATCCTTTTTCTTTCGACAGGGACAAATGTTATAAAAAATTTGAAAAAAAACATTTATTAATTGAGAGCTAATAAAATACATTTTTTGATTAATTATTGAAATTCCAAAAATCAATTGTTTTAATATATTACAAAATTAGAAAAAAAGATTTAAATAGTTTCTACATATGTTTAACGGATACATGTATAACAATATTTAATCATAATAAATGTCGGGTATTTTAATTTAAATTCCCAATAATACAATGGAAAATGTTATAAAAACACTAATTTTGAGACGCTCTCACACTGGAATAAGTTGGGCGCCAAATACGACGAATATTCGCCATCGCCCGTATTGTGTTTATGCTACAAATTGGATTTTTTCCGTAGAAACGAGTGAGCTGAGAGTGAGAGAGCAATCTCTTGCAACGCAGGGTTGCCAACCTCGATATTTTATAGTAATTAAAAAATTAACTTGAATATATTTGAAATATTTTTAAAATAACTCAAAATCACAGTCGAATACACTTATTTATAAATAGGCAAACTATTTTTAATAGCTGGATTTAAGTTTTGAGCTTTTACATTATGAAAAATGATAAATAAAAAACTAAATTTGTGAAAAATCGTGTATACAAATAGAACAATGGCAATATTGGTGAAATGAAAACAAAAGAGAACAACTGATTTCTGCGTTGCAACTACGGGCATAACTTTTGACAAATTTAGTTTGATACGGGCGGTAAGTAGGCGGAAGAGAGGAATGTCGGTGACTGTTTGTGCACTATGTGTTCAGCACTTAAGCTGGTAGCGCGCAAGCCACACGTCAAAAATAGACAAGCATAGCAGAGTCAAATGCTAGGCATGCCAATGATAAAAGGTTAGTCCACTTAATAACTTGGTGTGTGTCGGACGTTTATGTCGTTGAGTATATTCTACCTCCGCAATTGAGACGTCCGTTGCAATATCACAGCCGCTTCGATGTGTGTTTCCGTGTTCACAAACAATTTAGTTTGTCGAAATTGTAAACAAATATTGATGAAATAAATACAAGCATTTTTGTGTAATAGATTTTCTAACAATCAACCAACTCTAACGTATACCGATCATTTGATTTGTTGAACAACTAAGCCACCTAACTTAAAGGCGGTTTAAGAAAATAAATTGCAATAATAAAACGCTAATTAAAAGGTTGTGTAGTACTGCTTAACTAAATTTAATTGCGTATTTATGTATGAGCATGCAGATGCATTTTAAATGCATGTGCATGTGCAATTTAGCAACAACTAGCGCAACAGTAAGCAAATTACATAGTTTACATGAAAGTATCTACATAAATATTGTCTATATAAAAATGTGCATGTATGTATGTATTCTGCGCAATTTCCAATAAGCGGATATGTGTTGCTACACATATACATACCTATAAAGGTACGTGCTCGTGTAAACAAAGCAAACCGGAGCGAGTAAACTGCAGTTTCACGTCCTGAATTCGCACAAGCGCCATTCAAAAATACGCATTGTTAACAAACAGTCATAAATTAAGAAACTAGGGACAAAGTAAATCACGAAACGCCGGAAATGCATTTACGCGTGCGTAGCTCTGACTACGTTGCGAATATTATTGCTTCAAAATTGCGTGGAAAGGTTGTGTAATTCAATAACTACTACAGATAGCATTTTATTTACAAACATTTCAACGTCTGTAAAATGCCACGATATTTTAGTGCTTAATGAACAGAAAATAAGAAGAAATACTATATATACTGATTTTTGTTGCCTTAAATGTGAAATCAACTCGATACTGCAGATTCGTATATCTTTACATGCATGCCATAAGTATGTATGTTTATGTGCTTATATATTACTACGTGAGCAGGCATATGTGTACATACATAAATATAGAAGATTTAGTATGCACAGTAACCGAATTGGCATATGAATTCGATATTTGGATTGTGTGTTATTAGCAACAAATTTATTAATACAACATTAACAACACGCTCAAACTGTTGCGCGAATGCACAAGTTATTAACGCTATATCACGCTTAAATTAGAAAGTAGAGGTAGAGTCAAAAGCTTTTTACACAGTGCGCACATTGGAAAAAACAAACACAGCTAAGATAAACACTACCATACAAGTGAAGAATTTGAGTCTTCCTACGTATTTTCCGATTTCTCAGAAAATATGTATTGAATGTGAAAAGTAAACAACATAATAAGGCATAAATTGGCCTTGATTCGACTAAGTTGGTACTTACTGCACCTTTTCTGGAGTTGTCGTTCTGTTAATTGCCCATTATATGTAAGTGCCGTGAAGCTGGTAAATATTTACTACGAAAATGTACATTTTGGTTGAAAAATATTTTAAAAGCAATTCGTACAGAAACACACACATGCTTTTGTGAATTTTTTGTGACGACAAAGTTAAAGCTTCTTAATTTAAACCAATGGTGCATTAATGTATGTCATTAAAAGATTGTTGTATAAATTATTTTTACGAAGAAATAAAAAAATATGGCAATGACAACAATGATTCAAACGTATCTCCGCAAAAAACAGCGGTGACCCTCATAACTTGGTGCTGGATCAACCGAAAAGAAAAAATCAAGGTGCATTCCATAGTTTTCCTTAAGCAACGCCGAGAACGTTTTTCGAAATATCAACTTTTCATTTTTATACCCAGAACAAGGTATATTAAGTTTGCCACGATGTTTGTAACACCCAAAAAGAAACGTCGAATACTCTATAAAGTATTTATATACATATGTATATAAATGATCAGTGTGTCGATTTAGCCATGTCCGTCTGTATATATGGGAATTAGTCCTTGAGTTTTTGAGATAAAGACATTTTTATACCATTTTATGCTATAGAAAATGCACCTATACCAATATTAGAGATTCGGTGCCGTCGAAGTTAGAATACTTAGCATAGCACTGCCATACATGAGAACTTTCACAAAAAGAATCTGTTTAACACGTTTTGTATGCATTTGATTACCGAACGCAGGGCATGACATAGAAATTTGTTGAAGTTTGATTTCTATGCTGTGTGACATTTCATCGCTGCTCTCTGTTCTCTCATTGTCTCATTGCGTCTGTTGTGACACTTCAGCAGTGTTTCCAACTATCAACAATTTTTCTCCCTAAAATTCCAACAAAGACCCCCTAAATTCCAAAATAAATAATTATTATTACTTATTAAAATAAAATTAATAAATATTTTTATATAAGTTATATATTCAATTATAAGAATATTTATTAATATAAATAATCAAACATTATTGAATTATTAACAAATTTAAAAGTATAAATTAAAAATAACAAGTAAGGAAGGGCTAAATTCGGATGTAACCGAACATTTTATACTCTCGCAAAGTCAAATGGTATACTCGTTTGAGCTTTCTTTGTGGATTGACTGATATTTTCAGTAGAAGGTCAACTATAGGCACTTGGGTCCACATATTTAGCACTTAAGGGCTTGAACAGTTTTGGTTCGATTTAGACAATTTTTGGTCACAAGGTGGCATACTTTAAACGTATTATTCACGCAAAGTTTTAGCCCGATATAATCATTGTTGCTTGATATGCATACTGGAAAGTGAAAGAATCAGATGGAATTGAAAATGGTGTTATATGGGAAATAGGCGTGGTTGTAGTCCGATTTCGCCCATTTTCGTACTATAACATAGAAATATGAAAAACGTTATGCACCGAATTTGGTTGAAATCGGTTAAGCAGATCCCAAGATATGGGTAATTTTGAACGCGGTTCCTATAAAGTCATCTCATACCATCCCAGAGATAAAATTTAATGTCTCTGGCGTGTTTAGTGCTTGATTTATCGCGCTTTTAGTAGTTTTTAACATTACCGTTATATGGGGAGTGGGCGGAGTTGCCACCCGATTTCAACCATTTTCACACCGTCGATAGAAATGCTAAAAACATTTGCTTCCAGTGAATTTTGTTATATCTCAATTTTTACTGAAGTTACAGCTTGCACGGACGGACAGACGGACGGTCAGACGGACGGACGGACAGACAGTCACCCGAATTTCAACTCGTCTCTTCATCCTGATCATTTATATATATATAACCCTATATCTAATTCGATTAGTTTTAGGTGATACAAACAACCGTAAGGTGAACAAAACTATTATACTCTGTAGCAACAGGTTGCGAGAGTATAAAAAGAAATTAATAATTTTAAAAAAAATTATTTATTTGTCGGGTTTACTTAAAATTTTCAGAGAATTTTCGTAAGATGTTATACTTTAAGTAAATGCAAAAAAATCGATTTTTGAAAACTCTGACTACCCCTACACGATAAAGATTTGAGCACAAAAACTCTCATGTAATATATTCATAAGACAGGTATAAAAAAACTTCCTCATTTTTATACTCTCCTAATTCGATTAGTATATCCATGTGGTTTTCAAGAAGAAATAAAGCGCATATAATTAAGAATTTAGCTTTAATTTAATGATTAGGGTTTGCCATTTTGTTTTAAAAATGATTTCGGGCAAGTGATCGCCGCGGGTGGCTCGAAAAAATTCCAGCCGAGATACTCAATTTCCGACCAGGACATTTATTTTGGGCATAGCTACATACATACATGTGTTATGTCATAGAAAAATATTTATGTTCAAATAAGGCAGTACAGATTATATATAGCAAAACTAATTGCCATAAGTACATATTTTTTTACATATAGATTTAATGAATACTTCGCTTGTAATGAATTTGACACATAAATTTCTAAAAGTTTGTCGATTAGCTTCTGCTCTTCTGAGATTTTGTTTTTTTTTTGTTTGCTCCATAAGTTTTTAGAGTGCCTATACTTTGCCGATATCAACAACGTTAACAGGAACGTTAGGATGGAACCACTGTTTGATTTGGCTAAACTAACCACTAGACTTTCCAAGTTCTCATGTCACCTTGATATTGAAATATATAATACGCTATAGGCTTAATTAGTTCGCATTTTGTTGACACTTAGAATTGGTATGAAATTTGAGATCGCCTTATGAAAACCATCAATCTGATACAATTTTTCACCACATTTTTCAAATATTTGATTCTAAACGGTTCAGTTGTAGTGCTGCAAAAAGTATTGATTACATCATCTAGGTGGTCAATTGATAGGCCATTTCTAGATATATTTTGGTCACAAAAACTTCATCCCAATAAATTATTCGATTAACGCGCGCGTTACAAAGCTTGTTACAACGTCTTACAGAAACCAACAAAAAAAAAAAACAATAACGTGAAACACGTAAAACAATTGATTTTGAGGAAGTGAATAAAAAGTCGTGATTTCGTCTCTGAATACTACATTTGGGTTATTAGAGTGTCTGTTATGCCAAAAATTTACCCCATCATCATGAGACCTATTGGATGCCTAATTGATTTTTATCAAACGTTTTTCAGCACAGATAGATGACTGAAGGTTTGACATTGCCTGTAGGGGTACCACATTTTGATATTTTTTCGGGACGTTGATAGAAATAGGGACCGAACGCTGGTCCTGCGCTCATCGCGTATACAATTAATAAGTACTTAATTCACAAAATCACATTGCTCAAAATCACCATCATTTTTACGTTTATATGTCACATAATCCTGAAAAAGGTTTTTAAGTTTGCCACGAACTTTGTAATACATAGAATAAAGCGTATATATTGTAAATGATTATCGTGACGAATGGAGTCGATTTAGCCAAGTCGGTCTGCCTGGCTGTATATACGAGAACTAGTCCTCAGTTTTGAGATATCGATCTGAAGTTTTGGACAAGTTCTTTTCTCTCCGAGAAACTCATTTGTCGGAACCGCTGATATCGGACCACTTTAGCATACAGCTGTCATACAAACAGAACGATCAAAACCAAGTTCTTGTATTAAAAGCTCTTTCATTTTATATATCTGCACCAAATTAGGTATAGATGAACATCGAACCACTATAGCACAAAGCTGCCAAACAAACTGATCGCTCAAAATTAAGAAAAAGATCTTCATGGAAAATCGTATTAAGTAACATTAGTTCGACTTGAAAGTAGTTAATATCAAATAACGTTGCTAGAAAAACTAACAAAACGTTTTCCTTAGAGTCAAACGTTTACGTTTACAGTTTTAGTTATTCATAGTAAAGTTACTATAAGAAATACTCGTGTGCAGGGACTACAGCTTCGGTGGCGACGAAGTTAACGTTCTTTCTTATTTTTTTTAAACAAATTGTCTAAGCAGAACAGTTAACTAATTTTCGCGATACGACGTTTTCATGTCATTTTTGAACGATTCTAACTTATTATATTTACAGGGGCGAAGTAACAAATTTTATAACGTGCAAAATTAAATATATAATTTTACTTAAATAACTACAAAACCGTCACGAAAATAACGGTAAATGGGACATGTGAAAAGACGCCTACAACAGGAAATTTAACGATGTTAACCAAAACAAAACTCAAACAATAAATCAGTAAGAAAATCTGAGTCTGGAAGTACATGGAATTTAGTTATGGCATACCTCATCACAAAACGATTAGTGCAGTAACATCAATTTAAAACGAAAAGCAAAATAAAAGCTTACATGAATATTTGAAAGAATATCACTTAAGTGCGACCAAAAAAATAAAACGGGAAACTATGAACACCACCTCTTGCAGCAAGTTGATAGCAACAACAAAAGCGGGCAGTCCACTGCACTTTCATTAGTGCGGCTGATGTTAAAACGGCGCGAAAAAGATCTTAAGATGGAAGCAATTGCAGCTCAGTCGACTGCTGGCTATGATTTGGTGCAACAGTCATCTTTTCTCTATGCATCAATTTTAAACACCTCTAAGAATGCTTATGATTTATTCGCTTCCAAAATGTTGCAGTGGTCCAATGCTGTAATTAACTCCAAAAACAGCCGTCGCAGACGGACATCTATCCAACAAATGGTATGTGGTGATGATAATGACAATAGATGTGTTTGCGATTACAAAACTCCATGTAACCGACAAAATATTTTAAAAAGTAAATGTATGCAAAATCGAAAGTTAAAGCAAATTAGCTCGTCTGAGCAAACACCGGCTATCAGCTTACAACACAGGCCAAATATCGATGGCGTTGCGGCAACATTTGAGACAGCGCTAGAAGTCGAGTTAGTAGCAACACCAGCAATCACAGTAAATGACAGCGTTGTTGAAATCCCGACTGTTACCTTGCGGTCAGACGCTAGTGCTTGCATATGTGCTGACGAGGTCAGAAGAACAACTGCAAAAAATGAGTTTGCCTCCACACTTTTTTCGAAGGAAGCACTTTTTCACGCCACTATCATTGCAAATAGTAGGGATACTATAATACCGTCAACTATAAAGATTGGAAAGCCAATTACTATAACAACAACACTCAAAACCGGCTTACTAAGTTTGATTCGAAATGTGTTTTTAATGGTCGCTATATTATTAACGGTATTGACTCTGCAACGAGTAAGCGGACAGTACTTATTATCCATAGCTGCAACCACAGCGGCTGCGACTGCGACAACGACCAGCACAGAAGCAACGTCTACAATCTCCACAAAATCCATAAACAGGATGGCCATAGCATCAACGAGAGATATAGGAACAACAACAATTAATCCCATGATTTCTACGACTGTTAAAAATATGATCAATATAACTGAAACAAATAATTTTAATGATAGGCAAGCCAGTAATAAAAGTAAACCTCCAAAAACAGAACTAAAAACACAGCAGAGTGGACAAAAACCATCAAAATCATATTACAATGAGCTAACGCTGCTGCCACCAATTTACTTGTCATTAAAAGACTTTGACACGCAAGCGGACGGGCCTTCCCAAAATCTTTGGGAAAATTATGTAGGCATTGTGTCAAATGCCGACGTAATAACCAAACACAAATTTACCTCGGAAAGTAATGCATCCGAAGGCATGTATATACATCAAATGAATAACGACAGTAGGCGCAAAATGCAGCGCAACAAATCAGTAACATACACTCCGGCGCATACAGGGAGTAGATCTCTCGTTCAGAAAAGTAATCATCGCAGCGTTTTCAGCCATGTTTCTGCCTCAACGGCAAAACTACAAAACGCTAATAAGCGCAACAAAATTAGTCAACTTATTTATAACAAAAGTAAGTTTTTTAATGAGGAACAATCCCAAGAGCGACAACAGAAGATAACAGCATTGCAACAGCGGCGTCGCAGCAAGCGCAGTACAGTCGAATCTATTGTTACACAACCTAAAAGTAATAATACGGAATTGGTCATCAATAGCAATAGAAGTAGTAAAAATAATCCTACTTTCAAAAGCGAAATATCTGGCAATTTGGCAGGTGTTTTTGGTACCTATATGGCTTCAAATATCACCACGAATAAGTATAGCATTAAAAATCCTTATACTATTGAGGATTCGAATGAAAAAGAGCATAGTGCAAATGACCAAAAGCTGCTTAAATTGGTAATGGATGGATTAGGTCTAGAACAATTGCCTAATATGAAGAAAGTGAGTAAACAGTACATGTTTTGTAAAATACTAAGATACTTTTCAAAATAATTTGAATACATATGCTTCTAAAAAATTTAGAGATCCGTATGTGACTAAAACTCTTGGTTGGTTAGGCCTATATTGGAATACGGCTGTGGTATGGAAACCTAGTTACTAAATTTATTCTGACAAGTTAGAGTCTGTTCAAAAACATGTTTTATTTTTCGCATTAGGGCATTTCCGTTGGGATTTCAGGTCAAGTCTTCCTCGTCGAATGCGCTATTGTGATACGTTTCTTTCTTGGTAGAGAAATTTTTTTTCGTGTCAAAAAACGTTTTTTATTTTTGTTATTTATAAACTATTTAATGATTATAAGACTTATTATTTTATTTCAGAGAAAAAAAAAATTTTTTACAATAATTTCATTTGTCATTTGTGTCATTGAAAATAGTAAAACTGATCTAAAATATGAAAATAAAAACTTAGTAGCATTAAAGATGACGGTTATACCACTTTAATGAGGTATCCACTGCTTATCTTTCGATTCGACCACAATTGATGCAATTTAGATGACTTTTTCGGCGTTAAATTTAACCTAGTGAGCACCGCACATTAGACAAAATATAATACTTTGTATTCAATTGTATGCAAACTTTGATTGTTGTCTGAGTATCTCATGGACCTAAGTTGAACGAGTTTCTGACTGCTAAATACTCGTACTTTGTGTTATTGTGTTATTAGTGTTTATTCACATTTAAATAGTATACACAAGAACAATAGGACAGTAGGTAGGGAATTAACAAAAGATGCGGAAACTGCAATTAATGCATGACAAATAATAATGACGCCAGAATAAGCATAAGAGCTATAAACTTACAATGGTGCTATCCGTATCTTTTAGCGATAATTAGCGTAGATAACAGAGAACTCATTTCGTATTGAAAGCCAGGAGATTTATTAAAAAATATAGCTGTGGTATAGGAATCTGTATGTGAAAGTTCATATTCATACAACTGCCTACTTGTGTTACTCCAAAAACATATGCACACATATTCGTCTGTATGCATGCAAATAACTTCCTTCGTTTAGGAAGTGTTAAAAAAATATATACGTAGTCCCGCAAACGCGCGGAAGAAATCAAAAATGATGGTTTGAGTGATCCTGATGGATAACTAAATCTCTTTATTTCAATTTAATCTTATTTATACAATTTTCTTATTTGCTTAATTCTTACAATAAGTGTCAGTTACAATATTCGCTTATTCAGTAATTAGTTTTATCGTTTACATTGTAAGGGTGGTCTTAGCTTTAATGAAAAGAATATTGATTGCTTAAGTAAGCAAAGATGTTTATTAAGAAGCTGTATTATTGCTAAGTGCAAAGATACAGTTTTGTTTATAATGAGCGTAAAGCACACACAGTAGCGGCTGCCGTTAACTCCCCCCTCTCTAAGATGAATCGTTCCCGATTCAATATCTTTTTTCGATAGGTTATTTATTTTATCCAAAATAGCGTTATATGATATTTTTTGAGATTCTCAATTTCTACTTATTTTAGAATTTTTATAAGATTTTTTAAATATTTCAATCCTATACATTATGTACATTATTAACAAAATTACAAGTATGTACCATAAAAATTAATGATGTTTAAAAACTTTCATTCGTTCAGCTAAAATATTTATGTTTTCAAGGTTCATTTCTTTATTTTTTGTTTCAATATATATTATAATTTCAAAATTATTAATATGATTGTTCTTTAAATATTTCCAAATTTTACAATCGACATTTCCATATATAACTTTGTTAATATTTGTATAATTCTCAAAAGTAACAAGATAAATTCCATTTATGGAATAGCCATCAACTGTGTTATTTCCGGAGACTAATATTGCTCCTTCTTTAATTACATCTATTTCTTTATTTTTATCCTCTCGCAATCTGTTGCTACAGAGTATAATAGTTTTGTTCACCTAACGGTTGTTTGTATCACCTAAAACTAATCGAGTTAGATATAGGGTTATATATATATAAATGATCAGGATTAAGAGACGAGTTGAAATCAGGGTGACTGTCTGTCCGTCCGTCCGTGCAAGCTCTAACTTGAGTAAAAATTGAGATATCTTTATGAAACTTGGTAGACATGCTTCTTGGTACCGTGAGACGGTTGATTTTGCAGATGGGCGTAATCGGACCACTGCCACGCCCACAAAACGCCATTAATCAAACACAAATAAATTGCCATAACTAAGCTCCGCAATAAGATACAAGACTGTTATTTGGTACACAGGATTACATTAGAGAGGGGCATCTGCAGTTAAAATTTTTTTTAAAAGTGTGCGTGGTCCCGTCCCTAATATGTTTAATGTGCATATCTCCTAAACCGCTAATGCTACAATTCACTGGAAGCAAATGTCTTTAGCATTTCTATCGACGGTGTGAAAATAGTTGAAATCGGGTGGCAACTCCGCCCACTCCCCATATAACGATACTGTTAAAAACTACTAAAAGCGCGATAAGTCAAGCACTAAACACGCCAGAGACATTAAATTTTATCTCTGGCATGGTAAGAGATGACTTTATAGGAACCGCATTCAAAATTAGACAGTGGGCGTGGCACCGCTCACTTTAAGGTGAAAACCCATATCATGGGATGTGCTTAACCGATTTCAAGCAAGTTCGGTGCATAACGTTCTTTTCATATTTCTATGTCATAGTGCGAAAATGGGCGAAATCGGACTACAACCACGCCTATTTCCCATATAACACCATTTTCAATTCCATCTCAATCTTTCACTTTCCACTATGCATATCAAGCAACAATGATTATATCGGGGTAAAACTTTGCGTGAATAATACGTTTAAAGTATGCCACCTTGTGACCAAAAATTGTCTAAATCGAACCAAAACTGTACAAGCCCCTAAGTATTAAATATGTGGACCCCAGCGAAAATATCAGTCAATCCACAAAAAAATTTCAAACGAGTATACCATTTGATTTTGCGAGAGTATAAAATGTTCGGTTACATCCGAACTTAGCCCTTCCTTAGGCAAGTATTTGTATTATTAATTTTACAATAGGTGTCAGTACAGTAGGTCATTTCTTTTTTACAATTTTTTATATTATATAATATAATCTTTTTTGCATTTTGAAATTTCTTTGCCAATTACTAATTTACCGTCTTCTTGAGTGATTGCTCTTACTTCATAGTATTTGCAATCATTTATAATTTCTATAGCGGCTTTTAACGTGTCCTTGGACGAAATGTTGTGTTTTCGAATCCTTTTTTCTAACAAATCCCATATGTTCTCTATGGGATTAATGTCGAGTGATTGTGGTGATGTTTGGAGTTGCTTGCAGTTATATAAAAGCCATTCGCGGACTAGGTACAACGTGTGTTTTGGGTCGTTATCTTGTTGAAAAAGAAATCGGCTGCTGTCGAGACCCAGTTTTTGCACGCTTGGACGCAAATTTTCCTTCAAAATGTTCAGATATATATATTTGTCCATTTTATCTGTAATAAACTTCAAATTACCCACGCCAGATGCAGCCATACACCCCCAAACCATGATGTTTCCCTCACCATGTTTGACTGTAGGTATCAAGTTATTTTCTTGCATCTCTTCATTGGCACGCCTCCACACTTTTATTACTCCGTCCGACCCAAAAATGTTGAATTTTGATTCGTCGGTGAATACAACATTCTCCCAAAACGAATCGCTTATCAAGATACTCTTTAGCAAATTTTAATCGTTTTTTCTTACTTGCTTTTGATATGAATGGTTTACGTCGCGCAGTTCGGCTATAATAACCAGCTTTGTGCAGCGCATTCCTCACAGTTTGAGGATTTACACTTTTTTTTTAAATTCGACGTTTATATTATTCGTAATCTTTACTGCTGAAATACGCGGATTTCGTTTAACTGCAACGATGGCATTACGTTCTTCGTAGGGTGTTAAAGCTTTAGGTCTGCCCGACCTGAGTTTTATATTTAGATCTCCGTTATTTGTATATGATTTTATAATGTTATAAACACTTGAATGACGTTTCCCTACTATGTTTCCAATTTAACGTAAAGTTTTATTTTCCAAATATAATTTTAATATTAATTTTCTTACTTCGAGCGAAATTTGTAAGCCGCGCCCCATTTTTTTTTATTTCAGCTACTAATTACACTAAGCTTTAACACTTCTACGTTTTTACATTTGATTATGTGTAGTTCTCTCTCCGGCTTACACAAATTATTAAAAAAAATTAATAAAATACAACAAAATCAACAAACATGATACGCTGAATGAGCTGTACCTAAACTTTTTTGAGTATTTTTGGCTGCTTTTTTAATAACATTATTATGAAATTATTTTTTAAGTCACAGCGTCTAAGTGGCCCCACAAGATAGATAACGGCACAACAATCACTCAGTAACGATCAGCGAATGCTGTTCTAAGAATGTACATAACGTTTTTTTTGTTAACTTTTGTTGAAATTTGTTGTTTGAACGATTTTTGGTATGAATTGTTACTGTACCTAAACTTAATTGACTATATTCACTGTAAGTCTTCAAGTGTACAATATATTGCAGTTACAAGATTTGGTTGTAAAAATTCTTTTAGAATAGTCATTAAATTTTCAAGTGTATCATATTCAACAATATGTCTAGTTTTTTTTAAATTATTAATAGATTCGTGAATGGTAAAGCGACCTTTACTAAGAAATATTTGTTGCTTGAATTGATTCAATGGTTTTTCAGTTTCTTGAATTTGTGTATTATCAGAGCTCTCTGCTGAATGTTGTGTGTCATGTGATGAATCATCAGTTACATTATTTAAGTTTTGTCGGGATAAGGCGTTCGCGACTATATTAATTTTTATATAAATCATTTTTGGAGCATATTCCTCAATAATGGTATGCCATCTTTTCATTTTTACATTAGGATTTCTCGAAGAGACTGCAAAAGTCAAAGGTTGGTGATCTGTATGTATTTCTAAATCTGATACTCCTTAAGGTAGTTTCTTAAA